TGGTAATTTGACGCGTGGTAATTCGACGCGTGGTAATTCCACGCGTGGTAATTCCATACATAGTAATTCAACGCGTGATAATTCCATACGTAGTATTTCCGCGCGTGGTAATTCCATACGTAGTAATTTGACGCGTAATAATTCCACGCGTGGTAATTCCATACGTAGTAATTCGACGCGTGATAATTCCATACGTAGTAATTCCAGGCGCCATTAATTGTGAGACACTCTGTATACGAAGCAAAAGCAAAGAGTAGCAAGAGTAAAAAGAATGAAAATACCAAAAAACGACTCTCACCATCAATACAAATCCTCAAGAAAAATTTAACTACACAAATAACTCGAAAGGCATAAATTTTGAGTTATGTCATTGTTCCATCGAATGAGCGGAATGTTAAACATATTGTACCATAGCGATTGGTGGAGGAGCACTTGCTTGACGTACCAAGACGTCCAATTCGACCGGAAAGGGTGCAGAACCAATACAGCAGGGAGCAGGTTTTGCGACTCTTCTATGAAAGCATTAACGGCATTGCTTCGTATCTGGGATTCAGAAAATAATCAATGCACGAGGAAACGGACTTGGTCGGAGCATCGATGCACCAAGGTTGAAACCATAAAGGGTCGATGTATCATAGAAACCATGAGACAGAGAGAGAAGCAGGTGTCGTAAATAGAGATGTTTTTGACGATCGTCAAGTTGATTCGATTACGTAGCGGATGGTTGTAAATCGTGTACGACGAGAAGAGAAATAAATATACGGTTCACACCCTCGCACTGTTGCGCACGTTCTAGCACCTTAAAGGCACCCTGCATCCGATGCTGAACAACGAGATGGTTGAAGATTTTGTTACGGACACTATGATATTCGAATCGTTCGATTGTTCGTTTGGTAGAGTTTTTTGAACATGGTTCTTCGCTAATTTCGACTTTGTTGGAATATGTGAATAACGGGTGGGAGAGTATTTGGGGTCATATGGAAATTTGGGAATTGAGGAATTGAAAATTATGAACTTTGGGGACTTAGGGATTTGGGGTGAGGGAAGATATTTAGTGTTGTGGGGAGTTTAGAGATTTAGAATTTGGAAATTTTAATTTTGCAAATTTGAGAAATTGGGAAAGTGAAAATTGATAAATTAAAAAATTGTGAAAGTCGAAAATGGGAAATTAGAAAATTAGAAAAGTGGAAAATTGGAAAATTAAGAAATTTGCAAATGTAGTACTCCAAAAATTTGTAAAACTAGTAAATTAAGAAATGATAAATTTAATCTTTTAAATTTGTATATTTGAATCCCAAAATAAAAAGCAGCTAACATAACATAATCCAACTTCTGATCTACCAAACGAACAAGTGTCACAGTAAACATGGTAAAAGTAGACATATAGACTTGTTCAAACACACCGATAAAGGCACGAATACCACTCGAACAAACATCAAAAACAATTCTAAAGAACTTCACTAATTCTACTTTCAATATAATCATTATCATACATTATCCTAATCTTCAACAACTCAAGACACCACTTTCGTGCCTTTAACAGTGTCAATCAACACAATCATTCTTATCAATTTAGATGAACAGCGATGAAAACATAGTAATTTATACGATATATCCACCTATCTTACTGTATCGCAACTTCTCTTAGAATACGGTTCACGAATGTATTTAAACGATGTTACGTTTTAATTTTAAATATACGAGTCGCAAAATATAAAAGTGTTCAACTAACACCAAAACTATACAGAGCAATTATTTTTCTGTTGAATTAATTTTTTAAATTGCGGAGGATAAAACATTTTTTATACTAAATAATAAGTAGTACTCTGAAAATTTTAGTTGAATTTTCAGACGTACTGCATTTAAGGAACCCAAATACAGGGTGTCTCACAAGTGGTGTAGGTCCCTGAAATGGGGGGTAGCTGACGTGATTCTGAATAAGATTTCCCTTTGCGAAAAGCGGGTTTAAAGCTTCGTTTTTGAATTATTAGGGGAGAACTCGGACCAATAAGTCGATGCATAGTAATTCAACGTGTGGTAATTCGACCCGTGGTAATTCAGCGCGTGGTAATTTTACGCGTAGTAATTCTACGCGTAGTAATTTGGTTCGTGGTAATTCTATGCGTAGTATTTCCACGCATGGTAATTCTACACGTAGTAATTCCACGTGTGGTAATTCAGTGCGTGGTATCTCCACGCATGGTAATTCAACGCGTGGTAATTCGACGCGAGGTAATTCGACGCGTGGTAATTCGACGCGTGGTAATTCGACGCGTTGTAATTCTACGCGTAGTAATTCCACGCGTGGTAATTCAGTGCGTGGTAATTCTACGCGTGGTAATTCAGTGCGTGGTAATTCTACGCGTGGTAATTCAGTGCGTGGTAATTCTACGCGTGGTAATTCAGTGCGTGGTAATTCTACGCGTGGTAATTCAGTGCGTGGTAATTCTATTCCAAGTGCGTGGTAATTCTACGCGTGGTAATTCAGTGCGTGGTAATTCTACGCGTGGTAATTCAGTGCGTGGTAATTCTACGCGTGGTAATTCAGTGCGTGGTAATTCTACGCGTGGTAATTCAGTGCGTGGTAATTCTACGCGTGGTAATTCAGTGCGTGGTAATTCTACGCGTGGTAATTCAGTGCGTGGTAATTCTACGCGTGGTAATTCAGTGCGTGGTAATTCTACGCGTGGTAATTCAGTGCGTGGTAATTCTACGCGTAGTAATTCCACGCGTGGTAATGCAGTGCGTGGTGACTCCACGCATGGTAATTCAGTGAGTGGTAATTCAACGCATTGTAATTCGATACGTGATAATTCGACGCGTGGTAATTTGACACGTTGTAATTCGATACGTTATAATTCGACGCACGGTAATTCGACGCGTGGTAATTCCATACGTAGTAATCCCACCCGTGATGATTCATCAATCCCAGCTCAAGGATTACGCGCGCTCTGATTGGTCCGTGTTTTTTCCTAATAATTCAAAAACGAAGCTCCAAACCCCATTTTTGCAAAGGGAAATCTTATTCAGAATCACATCAGCTACCCCCCATTTCAAGGACCTACACTTGTGAGATACTCTGTATTTTTATACTACACTTAACTTTTCACGCTATTATTCTTTCTTCATATTTAGCTACTTAACGTTAATCAAATTTAAAAAATGAATGATCTTGTTAAATATGAAGAGAAATTGAATCAGGTTCCATGAAATAACCTTAAGCTAATAAATAATATAAAGTTACGAAATAAATAATAATTAATTTCGTCTGTAAGAGATATTAAATTTAACATCGTCGCGATATCCACATAAATCGATAGTAACACCGTTCGAATACTTTTATGAATCACTGTAAGTACACTCATCGAACCAATACTTTTATCGCCGTTGTAGGCGTATCATTTCCCACCCAACCCTCTTTAATTTTAATACACAAACAATAGAAAGGGCGTAAAAAGAAAGGTGTACAGCGTGAATAACAGCACTTATCGCTTCAAGTATTACTGTATTATCATTATCGTGTATAATACACGTGCACGATGGCTCAGAGTACCATCCTTGTAATTAATTTCAAATTCGCAAAATCGCACACGGCACGGAAATAAAAATCATAGAGAGAAAATGTATTTTCTGAGCCACTGTACACACCCAGTCCTCAAATTCTTTTTTTTTTTTTGTTTAATTGTATTTTGTACATAAGTACCGTGAACGAAATAAAGTCACATTAACAAGAGTGCCATTTATGGAACCTCCATCAGTTTTATGAATTCTCCTTTCTCCATGTGCACAAAGGTTATTTTGAGCCAAATATTATAAATATTAAAAATAGCACAAGTATTATAAATTTAAGACATTGTACAAATATTATCAGTTTTTAAAATAGTACAAAAATTATAAATATTAAAAATTGTACAAATATTATAAATTTTAAAAATTGTACAATTATTATCAATTTTTAAAATTGTACAATTATTATCAATTTTAAAAATAGTACAAATATTATCAATGTTTTAAATTTTACAAATATTATCAATTTTAAAAATTGTACAATTATTATCAATTTTAAAAATAGTACAAATATTATAAGTTTTGAAAATTGTACAAATATTATACGTTTTTTTAAATAGTACAAATATTATAAATTTAAAAAATAACACAAATATTAAAAATATTAAAAATAGTACAAATATTATAAATTTAAAAAATAATACAAATATTAAAAATAGTACAAATATTATAAAATTTAAAGACAATACAAATATTAAAAATATTAAAAATAATACAAATATTATCAATTTTGAAAATAGTACAAATATTAAAAATATTAAAAATGGTACAACTATTAAAAATATTAAAAATAGTACAAAAATCAAAAATATTAAAAACAGTACAAAAATCAAAAAGATAACAAATAATACAAATTAGAAAATGAAGTAATTAGAACACTATATGTGCTCCTAAAAATTATACAATTATTATTTTGAAAAAATTTTGTCTAAATTTTATTTGAAGCGATGGTTCTCACTCTGTATGTTTCACAGACGGTAAGTTATTCAGCCAGCATGATAGTAAAAGTAATTTTGCAACCTGGATAGCACAGGGACCTGGATAGTCACAGAGTTGCTAAGAGCAACTCTCAGAAGAAAATTAGTTATTTATCATATAATCTTGCTAAAATTTTTGCACCTGTACACTGATGAGCACGTAGATCGAAAGTAAATGATCGGTGTAAGTGCTGATACTAATCGATACCCGTTCGAAACGCTGTATAATATCGATGCATCAGTATTATCCAGTGCTATTAACGAGTATTATCTACCTTGTAAATCTTCTATAATGCTGTACATAGAATGTAGCACATTAATTTCAACTTGTAGCGAACAGACACTATTAGGGTAACTGAGCTTCAACATTTTCAGAGTGTTGAGCAATCGAAATTACCCGTCGATCGAACGTCTGCAAAGAGGAAAGTGAAAAAGTATATGAAGACAGAAAAAGATCCTAAAAAAAAATATCAAAAGGTCACGAAACAGATTAATATTAAAAATTCGATTAACACTTTAATCAGTAATTCTAAAACGATGGATACCGAAGGACAGAAAAAGAGTGGTACCAAAATGGCGGCGCTGAAACGTCGGAAACGTTCGAATAAAAGAGTTTCAAGATCAGACAAATTCTATCGTCATCCAAATTTAAGTTTCGAGGAGCAACGAAAACGGATCAATGACACTTTTCAAGAAGAAAATACGAACATAAATTTTGAGAATAGATTGAATATACTTGGGGCGTTTAATTCCTCGAATCACGAAATTCCCTCCGAAACAAAGAAATACATCCCCGTTTTCACGAAATGCGACACCGCTGAAAATGCGGTCAAAACGAAAGAAAATTTGAAGAACACCGGCCATAAAAATGATTCCACGTGTCAGGTTTCGGATGAAAGCAAATCGAAGAATTTGGTCGAACAACGAAATAAAACCTACATAAACATACGGGATCATCAGAGAAATATCGAGCAAACAACGGATATACCGGAATACGATCCGAATAAAATTCCGTACGTGGATGTGCCGGATTATTCGGACATAAGGGAGGAAAGCCTGGATGAGGAGGATCGTAGGAATAAAAAAAAGAAAAGCTTTGATTTTCTTTCTAAATCATATACTGATCGGGAGCATAATTTGTCAAATAAGAGTGAGTCAAAAATAATGAAAGGTGCAGAAGAGTCTTCCAAATCTTTGGATGTCGGATCTGAAGAAATTGATGAAGATAAATCGTCGAAGAACACGAAACAGAATGAATCTTCAAGAAATGCAAATTTTAATAAAAAATCAGATGATGCAGATTTTAAAAAGAAAGAATATAAACAGAATATGGATAATGATTTTAATAGTGATTATGAGTTACCTAAAAACTTCAAAGACCTATTAAAATCGTTGAACATAAACGAACCTGAAGAAGACGATGAAGATAAATCAGGAGATTGGAAAGAAGACTTGAATTATAAAAATAGTTCAAACTTGAAATATGAGCCTTCTAAGTCCTCCAAAATCAATGATTACGAGGGGAATCCTCCTCACACAGTTACGACAGAAAGCAAACAGTTACAGGAACCGAATGCTAAACATAAAAAATTGATGACAGAAGAGAAATCAAAAGAAGAGTTAGGCGAAACAGAGAAGTCCGGGAATCCCATAATTTTCGACATAAACGAGTACAGGAAGCCGTTCGATCTAGACGAATTTCTTAAGGACGATCCGATAATGAAAAAGTTGGAGTCGCTCGAAAAGGAGACGTTGTCCAAGTACGGAAAGAACGGGAAACGGGTTCCAGGTGACTTTAACGAAAGTGATAATGCGTTCGAGAAACGATCGGGCTCCACGGAACGAGAGGATTATACGTCAAAATGGAGGCGAGATTTCGAATGGGACGATACGAAGAAACCTCGAAACAAGGTGATCCAAGGGTCGAAAGATCGTGGAGAATCGAAACTATTACGATTCTTGTTTAAAGACAACGAGCAGGATTCGAAGTCCGAGTTCGATGATGAATTTCCCACGAAATATTCCATGGATGCGACGAATGTGCAAAAGGACGAAAAAGGAATTTCAAGGTTGGAAAATGAAGGAATAGAAAGTGGAGATGAGACGGGATTCAAAAATTTTTGGTCCTTGGGGGATGAATTTCTGAGCAGGAAAACTGACATGGAAGCGCAAGAACGGAAGTAGATTTATGAGCTTACGTTGACTAATGTTAATTAATGTAATAATTAATGTGCCGTACTATGTATGTCGTTTGAACTGTTACCGTTTATTCACTCTGTTTATTGTAACACACTGTTGTATGCACGGAGTAAAGTAAATGTACCCATTAGTGAATGTTGCTTAAAAACAAAATAATTGTTTTTTGTTGAAAACAAAAACAAATGAAACTTTAAATCATTGAAGTTAAATTTATTTAAATGCTTCAATTTTATTCTTTTGGTGAGACGTTCACTCACAAGTAGAATTACAATTTTTAATAAGTTATTAAATGTGCATGATGTGATCAATTTTATTAAAAAATGTACAAGCCTAGATTTGTTCAAATTAGGAAACTTGCAATAGAGAGATGATAAAATATAAATTCTTGCAAGTATGTATAATTTCAAGGTTACACAATTTCTAGCAACTGCAATAATGGCGGTCAATAAAGAAGATATCAGATGTAACTTTAATTAATAATTTTGTTATTGAAATACAGTGTCACGAAACCTAATTCAGTTGACCAACTATAATCAATATTTTAAAACATACAATCTCTATACATGTGAATAGCAGTACATGCGAATAACTCTTGTGAAGAGAGTTAAAATGGCGTTCCTTTGTATCCACGTCCTTCCACTAATGGGACCATTAACCTTACTTAATAGTTGATTAATAAAACATTGATACACAAAGAAATCGTCAAAGTTCTTTCACCAACGAAGAAATAACGAATGACACGAGCAGAAGGTAAAGGTGGGTGGAGTCCACATCCAGCTACCTCGTCTTTAAGCAATTAGAATTACGTCTTTAAATAGTCGTCGATCGATCGAAATTTGCCGGGGAATCCCGTTGCGGGAGTGATTCCGAGTGCAGGAAATCGGCGGAATCGAATTAAAGGTAAGATAGGCAGCGGGGTCTCCCTCGACCGAGGGATGAATCTGGCCTCTACGGATATATAAGGCCGTCATCGTGCACCGCTCAGTATCATTCGTCTGGTTTTATCAATTCCAGCAGCCTCGGCTCGATCGAAGCGAGAACGAACAGGTAAATATATAATAACAAATCCTGTACAAGTATAGAAGGAAAAATCGTTTGCTCGTGAACGATGTCGATAACCGTCGCGAAATCCATTCTGGATCTCGAGGTGGTCCTGTTTAAAAGCACGTCTCGGATACGGACGTTTCCATCGATCGATCGATCGGATAGATCCGTGCGTTCACATCGATCGATCGATCCTTGGTCTTGAATCTTCAAGTGCTTCCTGGAGAGAAGGAGACGGAGCGACGGAGAGACGGAGAGATAAGAGACACCTTCCATCCATATTTATTATCTTTATGTGTTCACAATGTGGCCGTTAAGGAGAACGCGGAAGCACGATCGGCAGATTCCGGTTATAAATGACTGTATTATATTATGTGTATAACTATATACACGTATACTTATATATATGTGCAAAAAATGAAAGAAGGTGACCACCGACGTGGAATGACACGGAGGGACACGGGAGAGAAAGAGAGACGGGAACGGCTGGATACCGATAAATATCGTTCGGACGAAAAGGTGAACATTCGTGTTTACGAGGAATGGGGGTAAGAAATACATTAACGATTTGTTTTTGTGAGTATTTTTGTTGGGAGTTCTGGAAGGTGTATTTTTAGATTTGGCGGGTTGGGAGTTTGGGAATTTGGAGATTTTGTGATTTGGGGGTTGGAGGTCTAGAAATTTGGGAATTTGGGGATTTGGAAGTTTGGGAATTTTGGGATTTGGGGGTTTAGGAATTTGGAGATTTATGAATTTGGAGATTTAGGAACTTGGGAGGTTTAGGAATTTGGAGTTTTGGGAATTTGGGGATCTGGGAATTTAGGGATCTAGGAATTTGGGGATTTGGGGGTTAGAGGTCTAGAAATTTGGAAATTTGGGAATTTGGAAGTTTGGGAATTTTGGGATTTGGAGGTTTATGAATTTGGGGATTTAGGAACTTGGGAGGTTTAGAAATTTGGGGTTTTGGGAATTTGGGGATCTGGAAATTTGGGAATCTGGGAATTTGAAGAGTTAGGAATTTAGGAACTTGAGAATTTGCAGGTTTAGCAATTTGGGGATTTAGGAATTTGGAAGTTTAGGAATTTGGGAATCTGGAAATTTGGAGGGTTAGGAATTTAAGGAACTTGAGGATTTGGAGATTTAGAAATTTGGGATTTAGAAATTTGGAGAGTTAGGATTTTAGAAATTTGGGAATATAGGAATTTGAAGATCTAGACACTGAAGGATTTGGAAATTTAGGAAGTTGGAAATTTAACAAATTTACAGATTTAGAAATTTAGAAATCTTACAAAACCTTCCCAGATTACCACATTTTCCCTAAGTAACTCAAATTTCCTCCCAACTAAAAGTGAACAAAAATCAAAAAAACATCAGAAAATTTCAAAAACAAAAAATTACTAAAGGTCTTGACAGAAAATTGTTCGACTCACAATATTCCCAGTACCAAAAAAAAAATTGGGTTTTTCACTAGTAACCTGATCGATTGTCGAGAACCTTTCTTTGGTTAACGCTCGCACTCGACCGCCTCGAAGACATCGACGACGTCTTGTTTATCCCTGAAAGTTCATGGATTTCGTTCACCGTCTCTCTCGTTCCTTTCGATTCTCTGTCTTCCTTATCGACGCCTGCCCGAGACTGGTAATTAATCGAGGAAAGTGAATATGATATCGGCACGGCTTTGAACCGCTGCATCCTGCCAGAGGCTGGCACGAGTCAGGTACCTGTATCCTGTTAGCTCTCTACCTTCAACTAGGACTCCCGTTCTATCCGCCACAGGTGATTGTTTTTTTTTTTATTTCCCACCTGCTGACTCGTGTGGTTAATTAAACTGTAATTTGTTATTCACTGTCTCGAGATCCTGTTGGTTTCTTTACTTTCCCTTTTTCTTGAACTTTTTTTGTTGGCTGCGGTTGATATCGAACTTGTTTCAGTTTTTTTATTCTTGAATGTAATTATGGGCCGTTAAAATTGAATAAAGTGTTCATTTTGTTGGAAATGTGAAAATATTCTTGCAGAAGATGAGTTGGTAGAAATATGAGTGTTTGTGTATGTAAGTTTTGAGTACGTGTGAAGTAACCCTTCGCTGCAGGGCTTCGATGTTTAATTCTTTGATGATTTATTGCAGATTTGTTGAAAGAGGAATTTTTTAATATTGTAAATTTATTGAGAGATGTATTCAAATCTTTAGTGTTGTATTTGGAGCAAAAGTAATAGTGAGATATTTAATTCATGTACAAGTAGTGAAGGGTTAAAGACATTCATGGTTTCATTCATAATTACATTCATGGTTAATAAAATAATGTCCAAGTTTGATGTAAATATTTTGCAAAAAAGAAGAAAAGATCATTGGTCCAAATCTATTAATTTAACTCATAAATTTTATCATTTGTGGTTCCTTTCCATTTTCAGCCATTAAATTCGTAATCAAAATCATTAAAATGAGGAAAAATCTAAATGGCACATTGTGTTACTTGTTACTAATTGATTAGTGTTTGTTTCAGTCATGAATACATCAACTCGCATTCTCCTGGTGCTCTTCGTAGCTTATGTCACGGTCTTCGTGCTCGCTGCAGGAAATATGCCTTTCGATCGAGCCATAGGTGAGTTTAATTACAAAAACCACTAAAAAGTGGATACTTTCTTCTAAAAGCCCGTTTTACTTAGAATAATAAATGGATGAAATAGTAGAATGATAATTAGACAAAGATACACTAGCTCAGTGTTACAATTGTGTCATAGAATAAATAATGTAACAATTATAGTAAATTTAAACTAGTAAAAAGATTTTCCTAAATAATGAACAGTGATAAAAAAATCAAATATCATTAATAAAAATAATCTGAAATGTTTTCTGTATCGAATTCACAGGTGTTTGCATCAGAAACTGTGCCCAGTGCAAGAAAATGTTCGGACCGTACTTCCTGGGCCAAAAGTGTGCCGATTCCTGCGTGAAGTACAAAGGAAAGCTCATCCCCGACTGCGAGGATGAGGTTTCGATCCAACCATTCCTCCAGGCTCTCGATAGTGACTATTGAAACTCAAACAAAAAGTTCCTGACCACTTATTCGCGTCCAATGTATACTTAACACCCGACTAAAGTATATATCGCTCGAAACGCTGATCGACGCCGTTTACGTTTAAACTAATTTTCGTCTCGATGCCGCGAGACGTTAGTTTTTATTTCCGAGACGTAAACTGCCGATATTAATCGAAATATCTTCTTTGATCTCATTACAAATGCTACTTATAGTTTGTTTCAAGTGTTGAATATTATACGATAAATAGCGAGTGGATATTTATTTTAGTATATAATCTGCTTTCCGAACTTTGTATCAAATACTCGAAGTCAGTGTTTCCACATTCTTGAATTAGTGACATGTTTTAAAATTAATTACATTTTCAAGACATAACTGTTAGAAAAAATTTAGCAGACGAAAGCAGATGAAATTTAGCAAATTTACGAAATGAAAAATATACATATATATATATTTTGTGTTTACAAAGAGAAAATTTTGATAAGATATGTTAGGAAACATGGCTGCACCAGTACAATTATAGCTTGAAATAACTACTCAAAGTACGAAACGAATATCATATTGAAGAGAGATTAAAATAGAAGCGAAGGAATGGAACAATAGACAAATACTCGGTAGCACACTGTTGTCAACCGAGTAACAAAATATATGCGAACAATGTACTTACCGGACGCTGTTTACTCCGGAGTGGGTGGTGTTACATAGCACTCTGGTATCGTAGACAACGTCTGTTTCAATTCTAGTTGCTGTACCTGAAAATTATTTAAGCTTCATTGTACAATTTTTGTCGCTTCGAACAAATGAATCTTTGTTATTTTTATTTTATTTACACGTTGCCGAAGAGTTTTCTCGTTCATGGCTGCTCTCGATAATAAATGTTTCACTTTGTCTAGGAGTTCAGACTTTTGGTATAATTGTTCCCTCAACATTTTCATTTCCCCGTTGTCCTCTTCCTTCTGAGTCCTTTCTAACGCTGCTACTCTTTGTTCCGCTAATTGCAGATCGGTCTCCAATGCTACGATGCGTTTCTGTGCTTCCTCGTACTGCTTTTGAAATACACCCTCAATTTGGGTACTCGTTTTTCCCTGAATACCAAATTATTTAGAATTAATTAGAGGAACTTATGTGTGTTTTTAGGTAAACTCTATGTCTTTAAGTACACTATAATATATAATAAATAGCTACAATCTACGTCTTCCTACTAGAAATTTTCGTACCCGATGCGTAAAATTATTCTTCTTTGAACTAAGTTTAAGTCGTTTGTTCTCCGCTTGAAGTTTCTCGATGATCCTTTTCAGAGTGAAAATCGTTTTCTCCATCTCTGCAACAGACTTCCTCGAACCATGATCCTGTACATCTCTGTCCAACGATCTTGGAGTAGAGTCAGAAGACTTTTCTACTTTCAGTAACTCGATGTATCTACGCAAACAATGAATTAAATAATATAAAAATCAGGTCTAACAAGGTTTCCAAAAGAACCTACTTCTCTAAATGATCGACCTTCTCCCTCAATCGGGGTGTGTCCGCGTTAGCTTTCTCTAATTCGAGGCGTAGCTCGAAATTTTCCGCTTCTAAAGTCAAATTCATCTTCTCGAGGATGTCCTTCGTCATCTCCAGCTTTTCCAATTGACTGACTACGTAAGCATTGCCCTGTAAAATACGAATTACATAAAAAACTGATACCTTAGATAATTTGTGTCAGGATCAACTGACTTGAGAAACGATTTCCAAAGCAGCAATTCGTCTCTTTTGCTCTTCGATTTTGAGCAAAAGCTTCTCGTTGTCCTCGTTCTCAAGGCGATCTGTTAACTCCTTGATACGATCTCGAAGAGTCTGGCACTCCTTTTGAAGTTCTTCCATCAAATTTTGCTGCATGTTCATCAAAGGTCTGGCGGATAAATTGCCAGCCACGTTACATTCTGACTTCAACTTGCTTTTCAAGAACCATTTCTCTCTTTCCATGCAAGACACCACGGATCGAAGCTTTTCATAGTTCGTTAGCAACTTCGTGTGCTCCTCTGACTTTTCTTTAAGCTTCTCTTTCAATTTCTCAGCGGTCTGTTGCCATTTCTTTTGTTTCTCCCATAAGGCAAGCTCCTCTGCGGTCTGTGCAATTAATTATACAATTAATTATTTATTGAAAATTTGAACAGAGAAGGTTTGTTACCTTGGCTCTCTTCGTTTCTTGAGCTAAATACTCTCGATCCAGCTGAACTTTGGCTTTCTCCAACTCTTCCTCCAAGGACTTTACCTTACGTTCTAACTGTATTTCTCGTTGCGTCGTTTTCTTCTCCTGCGACTTCACGGCCATGTACCTATAATTTCGGTAATTAATACGATTTAACTTTTAAACAAGTATACAACCCAGTACCTGCGACTAAGTTGTTGCTTCAAGTCAGAGATCTCGTTCTTGTATGTTTTCTCCTTCTCCAACAACGACTGCAACTGTTTCTTCATAAGTTCCGTCTGCGCGTTTTGCTGCGACTGATCGCGAGCAAAAGTTTGAGTAATCTCGTGAATTCTGGACTCCGCTTCTCCGTGAGTTATCGCTCGTTGGGAACGGGTCGCAGACTCCATCGACTCCACCGCGTTCTTCACACAAAATGGATTAATGTACTTATGAAATATTTAATTGAAAATAATATTCAACTCTTCGATTCGTTATAATATTCTTTCCTATACGAATTTTTACTACTTGAAAATTTAATTGCCTAGCTGTCGGGTGTAGTCTTTGATAGTCACAACAGAGTACAACCTTCGAGTACTAAATATAATACCTGCAACTGCTGACATGCAAGACTGAGTTCATGTATCTTATCGTCCTTCTCCTGCAACTCCTTCATTAAAGACATGTTCCCTTTAGTGATCAGCACTCGATTCTCAGACAACTGTTTGCGAAGTGCGTCCGCCTCCAACTGCCATTTCTTCAACTCCCCGCGATAACTCTCCAGTTCGCTCTTGTGTTCCTCCTCCAATCTACCAAAAAAAATCCTCGTTCAAATTATTTATCTCCACCTAACTAACAACTCACCTTTCCCTCATTCGATCCATGTGTTTCAACCTCTCTTCCGCCAATCTGTGCCAACGTTCGCTCAGTTCCTTGGTAATGTTCAAATCCGCCTCCAAAGTCGACACTGTTTCCTGCAACCTAGCCACCTCTTCAGTCTGAACAGCGTTACTCTTCGCAAGTTCGATCCTGGTCTCCGTTTCCTGCATCCTATCGGACCCTAATCTTTCCGGTTCATCGGACCCTTTCAACGAGTGAACCTTCTGAAGTTCGTTTTGCATCGAGTGAACTCGAGCCTGTAAGCTTCTGATCTCTTCTTGTAAACGAGCTGCGGCTTTGCTGTGCTCGTCGCGATCCTCCTTCAACAGGTTCTGGTACCTGACTATAGTCTCCTCTTTCTGACCAAGCAACTTCTGTAAACTATTTATCGTCGATTTTAACGCAAGCTTGTCGCTGTAGTCGCTGGTCTGAAGCTGAGGATGCGAGGAGAGCTTGTACTCCTCCAGAAGCTTGTCTTTTTGAGCCAACTGAAGATCCATGCTCGATATAGTCTTGTTCAACGCATCCACCTTTGTTTGATACTCCGCTATCTGCAACTCGTACTTGACTAAAGTGGAGGATCTTTCCGATGCAAGTTTCAGAGCTTGATTCAGCTGGTCACGTAGTAAGGACACTTGTTCGTTATCCTGTTGCTTCTCGATCGTGTTTTCCTCCTTCTCCGATTTTTCTGCTTGACTCGCCTCTTTCTTGGAGTACACTTCTTTCTGATCCGCCTCTGTCGATTGTTCTTTCGTTTCTTTCTTCGGGATCGAAGTTTGAACCTCCGTCTCGACAGTCTCTTTCTTCTCCAAGCAACAAGTGTAAGGATCAGTTTGAACTTCTATGGACCTCGTGTCTGGCGTTGCTTGAACGGATGTGTGCTTGCCTTCAAGAGGCATGGGACTTGTTGTCGTAGTACGGAAGTCTGTTTTCGATTGCTGCTGACCTTTGCCCCAGACTTTCTGAATTTGAATCATGTCGTGCTCCATGCTCGATATTATCGACTCGTAATCCATGAATCTGTTGTTCGCTGCTTGCAACTCGTGTTCCAGTTGCGTTATTTTTCGCTTGTTTTTGAAATCCTAGTCAAAAGTTTAAATTACGTTTGATAAAATTTTCTAATACTTAAAATCTTCTAAATTTTAAAATACTAAAAATTATTTAAAAATCCAATAGATTAACAAAAGATTAAAATGAAATTTGTCGAATAATTTTTTTTTAAAGCAAAAAGAAGAGAAGAAACGTACATTTAGTGTGTACTGAGAATATTCCGAAAAACGCTGCAGAATATCCTGCACCCCATTGCTCCCAATTTGTTGTTCAAGTATTTCTTTCAAGCTCTCCACGATTTGCAAACGATTCATTAACATTTCCTGCTGCTGTTTCGCATCCTCGTGACACTCCTTCGCTTTTCTAATTTCGGAATCGATAGTCCCGCGTTCTTCTTTCAATTTTATCGACAACGACACTACTCTATCTAAAGAGCTAATAGAAGTAGAACCTGCGTACATACTTTGCAGAAATCCTATGACATCTGTGAACGTTCTGTAAAGGGATTCCTAATTAATAAAATATTTTATTACGCTGGAGAAACGTAGATCTTCCTCAATAGCGAGATTGCGTTACTATTAATTATCCTAAAAAAACATTCTACGAACAGTGAGGCAAATTGAAAAGTTAAATTAAGTCTTGATCGAATAAGATTTCTAAGGCCATTTTGTTTGCGTACCAGTTCTACGGCCGCCATTTTGTTTGTTCTCTGCTTTACCTTGTAACGTTTAAAAACTTAATGTATTAAAAAATCATTGATACAGTTGCAGTCTCATAAGTGTTAAAACATAAAATAACAAAGATTATTCACAAAACTTGAATGAATTAAATTCCAATCAATCGCCGTCAAAGAAGATTTACCCAGATTCTACGAAATTTCACCTGCAACGATTTTCGCACTGTTTCCGACAATCCTGCACATAAACGCGTAATCCCTCGCAAGTTGTCCTCAATTTCTCGAGTTCCTCCTGCTGATACGACAGCTCGTTCTCCATCCTCGCTTTTTGAGCGTTCAGCTCCATCTCCGATAGCTTTTTACCAGCCAATTCAAAATCCAATCTCGAAATCGTCGCCTTATCCTCGCTGACTGCTTGCAAATCCAAAATCTGATGCCTGAGATCATCTAGTTCCATTATTTTCAGCGAATTCAATGAGTACTGTTGTTCGGCTTCCTCACGAGCAATTTGAAGCTGCTTCTTCAAGTTCTCGGTCTCCAGCTGAAGAGTCGCAACGTTATCCTTCAATTCTTGTACACGATTATCGTCAAGGTTGTCCGTTTTCTCGAAACGCAGGTCTTTCGATAATCTCTTGTGTAGAATAATTAATTCTTCCTGCAACTCGGACTTTGCGGCGACCACTTCTTTCAGGCTCTCTTCGCTCTTCGTCAGCTGGGCCTGCAAGATCTCGTGCAAGCTGCTCACATGATCGGCGCGCTGTTTTTCTAAAAGTTCTCTAGCTTGACTCTCTTTCAACTTTGCCTGTAAATCTTGTTCATCTTCGTGGTGAATCTCTTTTTGAAGATGTTCCAGTAACTGTTCTTTCTCTCTTTTCGCCATCTCTAACTCTTTCTTCAAGACTTCTACCTCCTTAGCGTTCTCCGAGACTAAATTATTTTCTAGCAAGTTTCGATAACGTATACCAAGTTCTTCATGTTTTTCTTTCAGCTCGTTGTAAACGGTGTAGCTGACAGAATTGGACAGGTTGCTCTGAACAGTCGAAATTTCACGCTCGAGGACTTTGTTGTGCTTTATGACATCAGCAAGCGATTTCTTTAAATAATTTTCATTTTTTATAGCTTCTTTTCGTTCTTGATATATTTTTGTAGATTCTCTGTCCAACAATTGTTGAAGAGCAACGTTTTTCCTGTTCGCCAGTAGAAGCTCGCTGGCTACTTCTACGTATTCCTTCGTTTTAATCGCGAAAGCTTTTCGAATTTCGTCCTCACCCTCCTCCAGCGTTTTTGCACTTTGCTCGTAAACTTCGAGCTGCATCTTCAACTTCTCTACTTCGTTTTTCAGCTGCTCGGTTTGTTCTGATAAAGTATTCTTCTGTTTCTCCCATTCGTCCGATGCGTTTTTGTACGTTTCTTGCAACTTGCTTATCTCGGAAACGTACATCGTCTTCTCGCTATCCGATTCGTCGATATATTCGTCGATGGTGATTTGATTTCGGGATAACGATTGGAGCATGCTATCTTTCTTCTTAAGCTCTTTTCTGTAATTGTTTGTTGATTTTTAGCTAAAATTGATTTGATGAAATATGTTGATTTCGAATAATGTTAAAAAATCAATTTAAGGGATGAAATTATTTTGAAAGCTGCCTTAGATCAAAGGTTTTCATATAAATATACAATGAATTTTCATTACAATTCCATTAATTTTTTTAAGTGAAGTTAATACTGGTCTGACTCTAATAACATTTTATTAATTAAATGATAAGCATTTTTATCGAAATCTGTCACCAGACTTTTAACGTTTCCTGAATTTTATAAATGTACCTCATTTGTTTAATTTGCGCTCTTAATTCGGTGTTGCTGCCCTGTACAACGTTCAAGTGTTCCTGTAGTCTCATCGCTGGATGATACCAACCCGCTAAATGTCTCACATCTAACGCTTCTAGCAATCGCTCTAACGTGCTCGATTGTATTTCCACGATGCTTTTACCTGGTATACCAACAATCAAATTTTGTGTCGTTTTTGAGCGATCACATAATTATTTAACGAGGGTTTAGGAATAGATTAAACATAAATACATATGGTTAGTACAGGTGTGTTCAGAAAGAGTATGTGTTGTTACAGATCGAAAAGATAACTACAGGTGCTAACAAAACGCTGTACTGAGAGTCATACTACGGAAACATCCCAACCATGGACGTAGAACAAATTTGTGCTATCTAAATTTCACCCTCTCCCCAAGAAGAGAGAGTTAAATTACGATTCCAACAATTAATATTTTGGTAAATCTGAAATTCACCTTGAAATAAAAACCTACGCCCATGCTGCAAAAACATGCCCATATCTACAAAATTTCATTGATCCCCTTATGAAAGCAATTTTGCGCGGGAAAGAGAAGAAAACTGTGCATCGGTAAAGTACCATTAAAATTAGCGAAAATTCACCGTCTTGATTTCGTATACTATCCAAAATTTCGTGCATTCCCGTTCTGAGAGCTTCGTTCTCGTCTATGACAAATTGCATGTTCTGCTTCAGTTCGAACATGTTCTTTGATTCTGATTCCACCAGCTTCGTCGAATGCAAAAATTCCATGCCACTGTCGACGGTGGCGTTCGAGAAATCGAACTCTTTCGACGTTTTACTTAATTTATACTTTAACACTCTTATCTACAACATTAAAATAATCGAGGAAAAGTTTCAGTTGATCAAGCAAACGAGACGACAAACTTCTTGTTCTTACGTCCGACTTCAACTCTAAATTTTCCTCGAGAAGCATTTTATTTTGTTGAAGAAGTTCCTCCAATTTCGTTTCCTCTTCTTTGCGTTTTGCCAAGGCGTGTTGAATCGACACGGATTCGTGCTCCGGTATTCCTAGCTTCTCTCTAAAGTGTTTTATCCCGTTAATCCATGGGGAAATTTCAACGAAAAATAAATCGCAATAGTTACCGAAGAGTTATAATTTCCATCTCTTGATAGGAATTCAACATTTCCAATTTATTGACAACATTGATTAACTCTCTTATGTGTTCGCTTTTTCCCTTTAAATCGTTTTTCAGTTCCTTTATTTCGTTTAACGCTTCTGTTAATCCTTGATTTTCGTCCTTGTACTTTTTTAATGTAGCTAATGCTTCACACAGCTGAAGGAAAAAAATTACTGTTAAAATCCAACATGTGCTTGAATGAATATTTCATAAACTGACTTTGCTACTTCTCAACTGGGCATCTTCCTCTGCTTGTGACAACTTAAGCTGTAAACTTGATATTTGCTCATTGGCTTCTTGTAATCTTTTAAGTAATTCCTTTTGCTCCTTCTTTCTATCATGTTTTCCAACCCTGGACCAAGTAGTAGAAAAATGTGTGTAATTGGTTGTTGATATTTTTCTTATCTAGTGTACATACTTTTGTGCGTCTTCTTTTAATTTTTCTATGACTGCAGCACCTTCATTGATTTCAATAGTAGCTTCAGAAAGTTTTGTTTTCAATTCTTCAATTAGTTTGTCGCGACGATCTATTTCTTCGTTCAAATGAACAATTTCGGACTTGCTTTGTTCTTGGACAGAAACTACAGATTGAACCAGTGATTGTGACAAAGTTTCCTTCAGTCGTTGAATTTCAGCATCTTTTTCATCCAGTATTGCCTAATAAATTACTCATGAATCAAAACATAAAAATGTTGATTCAGAATAAAATATGGATTTCATTTGTACCTTCCATTCATTAATTCTAGCATCAATTGCTGCACCAAATTCATCTATTGCTTTGTCCCTGTCAATTTGCTGTGCTGTTATTTCCTCAATTTGAGCAACTAATGCAGCATTTTCTTGTTCTAAGTGTAATATATTTTCTGGAAAAAGGTGTTCCATCAATTGAATTGTAAAACTTTCAATGTTTGCAACTGTGCTTTTTGCAATAGTAACCTTTGAATTCAGTAGATTTAACATAAGCAGAACTTAATTCTTCTGTCATTTCATTCATCTTTTGTGTCGCATCTTCCATTTCTTGAGTCAATAATGTTAAACTTTCTTTCAAAACTATGTTATCCTTTTCCATGGTCTAAGAAATTTTGAATTTGTAAGCAAACAGCTTTAATGGTATCATTTTCTTTCATTTACTTACCTCTAGTTCTGTCATAAGAATTTTAATCTTTTTATTTTTTTTTTGCAATACATCATCATGTTCAGTGCTTTCTGATACATCCATATGCTTGAAATGATAACAACATTTACAGAAACTATAAAGAAATTTATATTCATAAAAAAATTAATAAAATATCTTACTTTAGATATATCGCTTGTTTCATGTTTTGTTTCAGGTGTATCCCACTCTACCCATAAAATACACAAAATTTTGTAATAATAAAAATATATCAATAAAATTGTTAAAAAAGTGAATTTATAATACAAAAAATAGCCTGATATATTAAATTTCACATTCATTAAAACATATACCTTTCTTTTTACGCTTAGCAGGTTCAGGTTTTAAGGAAGAAATTGTTTCTTTTAATTCACTGCATTCTAAAAGTAATGATTCTACCTATTGTGGGAATAAAGTATCAATAAGATCAATGAAAATGTTATACATAAAAAGGAAATGTAAGATCATTAAAAAATCAGCAAGCATAATTTCTTTTATTGAATAACAATTATATAAACAGTAACAGGAATATTCAACCAACATTAATTTACATAAAGAGAAGTACTGAATAATTATTTTTACTTGATTGTCTTTATATTGAAGTATTTCTTGAGACATTTTCATTATAGTTCGTAGGTTATGTATATCACTAATTTCATCTACATCGCAACTAATCATGGCAGGATAAAGATCTTCCATGTCATCGTCCGTTAATGACGATGGATCTAAGGATAAAATATGATCCCAATCGGTACGACCCATTTTATTAGATTAATTATCACTGTAACAACCTCACAAAACTACTCAATCTGACATATTCGATGTACACAAAACAACGCTTGTCACTGGTTTCCATGGAAACTGTGTTATGATCCATGGGCATAAAAAATATTCCCTATATTTCTAAATCCATGAACCATTTCTCAACAGAAAACAATACATGTTTTATAAGTTTAATCCATAGGCATATACAATGATCACCTAGCGGTAAAACTTTGGTACTAATGAAACTTATATAATTACTTTTTTCAACAGTACTTGGCTTATTAACGCTAATAAAATTACACACGAGATATTTGCATACTTCTTTCACCTAATGTTTCTTTGATTACGTATCTGAAAAAATTCTACACTCTCATATCATTCCTGCGTCACATACTACTATATCAGTTGGGACTGGAATTACATCACAGCGCTTTTAGTGGTAGAAATAAAAATCAAAAACATTTATTATTTCAAACAATAAAAAAAACAAAATTTCAACTCCGTTTAACAACGTTTCGCGTGTGACGCGAATATGTATACATATATACATACATCACATTTTTATATTGTTATTACATTTTATCGTATGTCAAAATGTTTTCACGCTTCGATTCGACTGTGCAGAAATGCCGTGTCGATAACTCTTAATTCGTTTGATCATACTAACAATAGTAGTAATGATGAAACAGACGCAAATGTTAAATTAGATGGTAGTTTGTCAATAAAAGAATGCAATGGCTTTGGGTTTATAACCCAGATACAGCTAGACCAAGGAAACAATACAATATTCTTCGCTTGCAGTTACAGGCATATTATAATGCAATGAAGTGATTAAACTGCAAAGTTCCTTCATGCAATATTAATAATACATGTTTAAAGAAAGCAATTTTTCTGAAAAATATTTGACTATTTAGTAACTTTCTTTTTATTTTTCTTTTGTTTCTGCATACAAAGGCTTATGGGCAATTGTATTTGTGGAGCAGATGGTGTATATGTATGATCAAATATAGGTATCTGTATATTTGCCTCCTGTAGGTGTTCAATTAAGCCACTACTCCGACCACTTTTAGCATATCCAAAATTTAAATGTTGTAGCACACGACGAAAGCTTGAGGAACTGAATGTAGGTAAATCTTCATCCATATTGACCACTTCCAACATCTTCTTAACAGTTGGAACTTCTTTTCTATGCCAAAAGTCATGAACGTGCTGTCGAATTTTTGATTTCTGTTGATCATTCAATTTGTCAAATACTCCTGGTTTAGTGCGTGTTACAGTGGGTGAGGAAACCTTCCCTGTTTTTCTATATTCTGACAGGACAGCTGAAATTGTCCCAACACCAATTCCACTTGTCTTGGATACCATTGCTCTTATGTCCTTATATGTAGCATTTGGATATGCCTCTAATTTCTCATGATATATATTTATGATCATTTTCTTCGCTTGAGATCGAACAACCTGTAAAATGATAACTCTTTTCATTAAAAAAATACAAGTATTTAACAAACATGAAGACTCAATTTTTTTATTCCTTTTATGTAAATTTTGTATCTCTTACCTTTCCTCTGGGATTTCTGTTTGGTGCAACTCTGCTAGTTGAGGGTTCCATTCTTTTTGACACTTATTTAAAAATAAAAACTATAACTAAAGATTGTTATTGAAAACAACACTTTCGTAAACAATAACTGAATATTGCAATGATCATGTTTCATACGACACTATGGAAGATACAGTCACCATCACGAGAGAATGTACTTATCGGAAGACGAGTTTTCCGTTCATTCTGCGCACATTGGTTCTAATTGGTTCTAACATGTTCCGTAATCAAAGATAACACGCATGCGCTTTTCTGCATTTGCGACATACCTAGTGATCTTTTGTTCAGTATACTTCCCACGCCATCACTTCTTCCCTTCATTCATATATTTTTGTCCACCGGATACATGATTATGAAGTGAGAAACAGATGGTAAAGGGAAAACATACTGGAGATGGAAAACTTTCTGAACTTAGCAGAGATGCGCGAAAATAATTACATTCTTTTATGAAAGGAACTATAGATGCACAATCGCCTAAGAGAGACAAATGAGTAGGGGAATAACCGATACTATACCAAAAACAGACAGAAACTCATGAAACTGAAGTTATGTTCTTATTTGGTTTTCAGAACAGAATGATATTTAAAGGACACGTTCTTTTCATAATTTTTCTACACGAACCAATACAAAAATTAAGATATTTTAAATCTTTGCCAAATCAAGAACAGTATAAACGTTATATAGTTAAAAACAATAATACCTGACATTGTATGTGACACTCACTTACACTAGGAAACATGTATGCATATATATACATATAGCAAGCTCTATCGCAGTGACAGATTATTTATGCTAGCATTTATTTTGTTACGTCGTACAGCTACGTGAAAGCAAACAATGAGTGACCTCTTATTGTCTGCTAATGTTTGCCATCTGTACGAACGTATCTCTATATACACATGTTTCAAAGTGATTTATATTTGACACCAATATTAGAATCGTACTGTCGTCACATGATGGCTTACTATAGACTTAAGAAACCGAAAAAGCCACTACTGCACTACTAGCCAAAATTTATAGCTCTATCAGTACCAATGTTGTACCGCTAGATGGTTATACCGTTTTTGTATATTATGTAATTCAACTTTCTTTATTTTCGATTTTATTGCTCATACGAGTCATTAAAATATTCCATCCTAATAAATTGTAATGTAGCGCTAAAGAACTCATTTTTTCTAAAAACTGCAGTTTTTTCTTTTACTAGGTATATGTATACATTCATCGCTTCTGTTTAGATGGCACCAGTAATACGTTTCAGCCCGCAGTAATATAAAATTAAAATACTGGCATAACTTTCTATTTTATTAAAATCATTTTCCCTGAATAATATAATACGTTGTTTTATTGCTGTATAAAGTAATTATGAAGCGAATGTTGTATCATTCAGTTACGAAATGCAATACGTCGATATGGTTTGTTCCTTCTCAGTAACGTAATGTGATGTCTCTGTTGTCGCATCGACCGCTTCAGTTGTGCGTTGCAGTCATTAATTTGTAAAGTACTTTTAATGAATAAATAGTGGTAAAGTACTTTCTGGTTTTTCTTTGGATGACAATAAAAAATCCATCAAAATGCCGCGTATTATGATAAAAGGTGGTGTTTGGCGGAACACCGAGGTAACATTTCATTCCTAACCTGAGGTGTGTATTTTCATACAAAGAACGTTTTCTTAATTACTTTCATTTTTAGGATGAGATCTTAAAAGCCGCTGTTATGAAATATGGCAAGAATCAGTGGAGTCGGATAGCATCTCTTTTACATAGAAAATCTGCCAAACAATGTAAGGCACGTTGGTTTGAATGGTTAGATCCGAGTATCAAGAAAACTGAATGGAGCAGAGAAGAAGACGAGAAACTTCTTCATCTTGCAAAATTAATGCCAACGCAATGGAGAACAATTGCACCAATTATTGGTCGTACTGCTGCACAATGTTTAGAACGTTACGAATATTTACTGTGAGTTTCAAATGTGATAATTGAGTTAATGTTTTTGTAGTTGTCTTATACATTTTTAACTTTATGATAGCGATCAAGCTCAGAAGAAAGAGGAAGGAGACGATGCTGCAGATGACCCACGTAAATTGAAACCAGGGGAAATTGATCCCAACCCAGAAACAAAACCTGCAAGACCTGATCCTAAGGATATGGATGAAGATGGTAAGGTTTCTACTTTATAATGTGTACTCATTATTATATGTAACAACAATAAAATTAGTAATTTTCAGAGTTGGAAATGCTGTCTGAGGCACGTGCTAGGCTTGCAAATACACAAGGTAAAAAGGCAAAACGTAAAGCTAGAGAAAAGCAATTGGAAGAAGCTCGTAGACTTGCTGCTCTACAGAAACGTAGAGAATTGAGAGCTGCTGGTATCACTGTATCACAGAAAAATAAACGCAAACGTGGGGTTAATTACAATTCCGAGATTCCATTTGAGAAACGACCAGCAGCTGGATTTTATGATACATCTAATGAACATGTTGATCCACTTGCTATTGATTTCTCAAAGATGAGACAGCAACATTTGGATGGAGAATTGAGACAAGAAAAAGAGGAAATGGAACGTAGAAAAGACAAGCAAAAATTGAAACAACGTAAAGAGAATGATATCCCAATGGGAATGTTGAATAATGAAGAACCAATAAAGAAAAGAAGTAAACTTGTATTGCCAGAACCACAAATATCTGATCAAGAATTGCAACAAGTGGTTAAGCTTGGTAGAGCGTCTGAGGTATACTAAATTACTTATGTAATTAATAACTATGCTGATCGCATAAACATTTCGACTTCATAATAATGTATAATAGGTTGCTCGAGAGGTTGCTACCGAAAGTGGTATTACGTTATCGGATAGTTTACTTGCTGATTATTCCTTACCGACAAATGCAGCTGTAACTCCTCGTACTCCGGCTGCTGCAGACAGAATTCTCCAGGAGGCTCAAAACGTTATGGCTCTTACTCATGTTGATACTCCATTGAAAGGTTGATTTATTATTGGTGTACTTTATCTACTATCAACATATATAAAATATTAATTTCTTTCTCTTCTGTATAGGTGGATTAAATACTCCATTAAATAACTCTGACTTTACTAGTGTCGTACCTACAACGAATGCAGTAGCAACCCCTAACACAATTTTGGCCACACCATTTCGTTCTCAGCGTAGCGATGGAACACCAGCCAATTCGTTCAATACACCAGCATCTGCACGTACACAAAACGGAGTTTTAGCAGCGACTCCAGTTCGCGATAAACTTAGTATTAATCCAGATGAGAATGTAGACGGATCAGAAACTCCATTAATACAAAAACAAGTAAAAGAACAGCTGCGTGCTGGTCTGAGTTCTCTTCCAGCACCACGTAACGATTACGAAATAGTTGTTCCTGAAGGTGAAACAAAAGATGAATCTACTACTTCACCTGCTACAGAAATTGTTGAAGATCAGGCTGATATAGATGCCAGACAACAGCAGGAATTAATGGAACAAAGTGTGTAACAGATGGTTTTTATAGATATAAAATTACTTATTCTTTACAAATCATTTGTAACAATGATATATTTTACAGAGAAAAAGGAATTATCTCGTAGATCACAAGTTATACAACGAGATTTACCACGACCGGTTGATGTAAATATGAATATCTTAAGACCATTCATGGATACTCCATTGACGGATTTACAAAGAGTATGATTACATAATTAATAACTATACAGTGTATATTTATATAACCATACAATGATAAAATGATTATTTTATTTTAGGCAGAAGAATTAATTAAAAGAGAAATGATCACAATGTTGCAATATGATGCTCTACAGAACCCAGTACAACAAAATCGTAAAGGTGCTTCGAATTCACTAGCTCACGCACAAGCGTATTTAGAGCAACATCCATATATTAATTTTGAAGAAGATGAACTTACCGCTGTAAGTTGAACGCGATATACATATAAACTTTAAGTAGTATATGTACATCATTCGTTCATTATGTTTGTGTTTTACTTAGGCTAAGAAGCTCTTGCTGGATGAAATGGCGGTAGTTAAAGATGGCATGGCCCATGGAGAATTAAGTTTAGATTCCTATACAACTGTTTGGGAAGAGTGTTTATCACAAGTATGTTTAAAACAATATTTTGGGATTCATCAATATATATGCTACTATGTATTCTATTATATGTATTATATTTTGTAGATATTGTACCTGGAAACGCAAAAGCGGTATACACGAGCAACATTAGCTTCAAAAAAGGATAGAGTGGAAGCATGTGAAAGAAAATTGGAAGAAAATCGAATGCATATGACCGGAGAAGCTAAACGAGCGGCTAGGATGGAAAAGAAATTAAAAGTCCTTACCGGAGGTTACCAGGTACTTTCGTTTTTAATGTACAACGTGACCACATATTATTACGTACATAACTAATATTAATTAATTTGTTTTTACAATAGACTAGGACACAAGTATTAACAAAACAACTACATGACTTATGGGAGCAAATAGAACAAGCACATTTAGAACTTTCAACATTCAAGTTTTTGCAAACGCAAGAAGAAGCTGCAGTGCCGAGGAGAGTAAACGCGCTTATGGAAGATGTTAATAGACAAACAGAACGAGAACGTGTATTGCAAACGCGATATGCACAATTGCAAGATCAATTGCAACAGTGTTAAATATTGCCAATCTGATTTATTGTAATATATATTGCAAGTGTTGTAAACGTTTTGTGAAAAACAAAAAGTTACTTTGTATACAAATTTACTAAAAACGATGCTTCGAACAAGCAAACATTCTCGAAGATCTCAACTTTGTATAATAAAATATATCATTTATTTCAAATTGACAATCCAGTCATTTTAGATTTGAAGAATTTCATGTGGATATAATTTATGCAAATTTTAAAACGTATACAAAATTAGCATAAAGATACATAATGAATAAAAGAGAAATGAAAAATAAATACAATTGTTTGCTTTTACTTCTACATTATAGTTTCTTTGAATTCCATGCAATTAATATAAAGTTTTTAATAATTTAATAATTTAAACTTACATTTTAATTTACAAGTCGAAAGATTAAGCGCTCGAGAATAACGGTCGCACTATTTCGTAACTGTATACCGGAAGTAATAGAAAAAGGCGCGGACTACCTTTATTTTATTTTTATTGATTATTATAACATATTAAAGTGTATAAGTACTTTTAAAATTCCTAAAAATTTTTAAAATGATAAAAAATTGATTAAAAGTAATTAAATATTCGTTTATTAATTTTTGCAACACAAAATGCAGCACGGATAATCGTAATTTCATTGTAACCTACTGTCGGTAAGTAAAAGTTTGAATTTGAAATATTCATTTTATTAATTTTTGTCACAATCCGTTACAAATATTATGAATGTAAATATAAAAGCAGTAAAAAATATTCAATATAAAAAATATAGTATATATCAATTTAAAAATTCGATAAAAAATTCAAATCTCTTAATTAAAAAAGGACGAATGTATTCACTACTGTGTAAGTTTAGTCGTATAATATTAAAAATCGATTTCATTATTCCATTCGCACAGTACTTATTCACAAAATTAAGAAAGTTAAAAATGATTTTGCCCGGTATCGTATTTACTTTTAAAATAATACTGATCTTAAATATAAATGAAGTTCAAACATATAATTAAATATTTTAAAGCCATGGTTTCCATCCTACAAATGTTCTGCCCAAAACATTTAAATCAGTCGCTTGATCCAGCAAGCATTCAACCTAAACAAGAAAATAATTTTTTTAACAAATCATCATAAAAATAATGAGTTACAAAATTACCTGTTCTTCTGGAGTTAAGAAATTATCTTTCATTTTAGCTCGGCTTCGTTTAATATCGTCATCCCCAGTAACTATGGCACAATATCTATTGAAATATTTATCGTTATGTTGTTCTTTTAATTGGTCTATTGTAATTAAAGATGGTTTGATGCCATTCAACTTTTTCGTAACCGCTTCAATCTTCTTCATTGGTACCCATTTTACATCTGTGAATTAAATTAAATTAAAATATAAATAATGACTCTATAGATCTCTTAAACAATAAATTATATAGTATTAAGTTTGGAGATTACCTGCTATATCCTCTTCATTTTCCTTCAATGTTTTGTTGATGTGTTCAGTCCAATTTAGTGGTTCATGAACAAACACATCCATACAGGACAAAATAGGCCCTTGTTCATTTCTTAATGCACGCAATGTATGAATCATTGTCGCGCCTAAAAGATCTGTTTCTGTGAACGGTTTCAGTAAGCCCAGAATCTGAGGCGTTAACCGGAAAGGCATTAATTCGGGTATCCTTTGATCAACGCCAGCATCAAAGGCTAGCCCAAAATCAATACCTAAACATTTCCCCGAATCGACATTGATCAGTGTATTCTCTAAATGTCGGTCACCAATACCTAATATCCAGTGTGCAATGCACATAGTAGCATAAGAAGTGATAAAATTCTGGCGCATTGTAACAAAGCCTTCTACGGTTGGACACAGAATACTGAATGTTTTACGTAAACCGTCCCATTTTGTTTTATTGATAAGTTCATTCATTTTGGCAGTCACTTTCGAAGCAGTATACTTCCTTACTGCCTCCTTGTACCATTCGAATTGTCTTCCAGAGTTTGCTGCACTTTGTATCCATTTTGCATATTCTTTAGGTATGTTATCGTTTCGGTCCGTCTCTTGCTTTGATAATGTAAAGTATATTGACTCTTGTAGAGATCTTGTGTTATTTACCCATTGTATCAGACCTACAGTCATAGATAGAGGGATCACCTAAATTATAAACAATTTGTTATTAGTTTAGGTCCTTAAATAGTAGTTAAATAATAACAGTCAGCTTATTAGGTATCATGATATTTAGCTGATGTGAAGTTAGGTATAGTAGTCTATAGATGATTTGACTTACCTGATAAGTATCAATAGCCAGCTGTCTCTGCCTACAAGCTGGATCAACGTGCAATATTTTATTCATAGTTGAGAACAGCTGTTGCAATCTTTGATCCTGTCTCAAATCCTCTCCGAACTTTGCTAAGAAATGATACTCTTTACCATCATTACCCAGCATGGTAATCCTGATTGGTCTCCTTACTGACTGCATCACCTTCACGCTAGGATCCATTTTGATGATCTTTACATGATTCTGAGGCACAGGTCTCTTATTACCTGTATATTGCCCAGGTATTTCTATGTCTTTATCAGAAAAATTATACAACCATGGACTGTAATCCAGTAGTTTGAATCTGCTCTTACGTCTATTAAGTGATTCCTTAACAGTTTCAACCATTTTGGCTATTTGTCGTTTAATTTCATCAGCACTCTTACGTTCCAGTGCCTTTATCTGAGTCTTGTATTTTGCAATCTCGTTGAAGATGGACCCTGGTTTTATGCTATCTTTGGTTGTACGTACATTTGGATATACCTTGTTCATGAATGTATCTATAGCCGTGGCCGGTCCACGCGGCAAATTCTTAATTAGCTCTGCCAAGTAATGTTGCAAATATAGCTCTGGTTGGACCACATACTGCATGGCTGCTAAAAATCGTTCGACCCAGGGTCTGTTGTAAAGAATTTCTCTGATCGCGTATGTTCTGGCATCGTTCAAGAGAGAAGGGTTCGTTTCCATGGTCAAATGGAACGTATAGATAATAGCATCAGGATAAGTCTCGGCGATTCGTTTGAGAATAGGCAGGATCAATGGTGCAATAGATGTTCCTAAGTGCGAGAACAATTGAGCCTGCCACGAAAGGAACAACCATGTCTGAATATGTTCAGTATGTTTCATGAAAACGTCTATCGTTTCTTGATCTTCGAAGTACTCGGTTTTCAGCAAGCAAGGGAAATAGTGAACTGCTTCGCAAGATCCATGTTTCATTGCTTTCAGAGTGAACCTAACAAACTCTCTAATCACCTGAACATCTTTCGTGCCTCGTGATAATTTTTCATAACAGTACTTCGCAAATACGTAATAGCTCTCGGCTCTGTTCTGCGTCTTCATCTCGCAACATTTGGACAAGTTACTGAAGCTGTAGCTTTCCAAGGATTCCTTGATCTTGGCCAGCTCACAGTTCTCAGCGTTTAGATCTTTCAAAATAGTTTCATTGGTCGTCAATAATGCTGCAAACGATTCGTCCTCTTCACTCAGTTTCACGAGTCTGGATGCTATGTTACTAATTTGTCTTCTAACGTTGACGTGAACAATAGGGCTTATATTATCCTTCTGCAGAAGATTATGACAGTGTTTCCAGGATGAGGTGTAATTTGACGATCTCTTCATCACATTCGTTTCGAGTTCTCCCATTAAGTATTTCAGCTTCGCACCCGTTAACAAGAACTGGTGCAGACTATCGTCGTTTGATAATTGGTTCTGCTCTATTTCTTGCAAATATCTCTTCGCTATGTATCTGTGTTTCTGGTTCAAGGACGCCTCGACCATTTTCAGTCGCATATTGAAGGTAATCATCTGCAATTTCTGAACGATTCCACTCTCTTCATCCATAGTGTAGTCCATCGAATCCGGTGAGGACTTTTCTAATTTCTCACGGAGCACCGAGTTGATGAAGCATGTTCTATAGGATATTAATTTGTCCCATGGAAGCAAAGCGTCTTGAGGCGAGGGTACACTGCTGTTCCAAATCTTCAAGGTAGTGTCCATGTCGTCCGTATTGTCTATCGTTTTCAAGACCTTTATGTATCGACTGATATCACCGATTATTCGCAGTTTTTCTAATTTGCGGATTCTGAGTTGGGTGGCTAGTGGGTGAAGCCCGATCCACTCTTCCTTCATCTCATCCAAAGTGTTTATTAAAAATTCATTGGAAACTTCCAACTTGTTGTTCAGCAGGAAGAGCATCGATGATTCCTCTCCAAAGAATCGTTTGATGTGCTTTACTTTTACCTCATCGTTCAACCAATTCTCCACGTTAACTATATCGTCTCTGAAGCTGTCATCGTAGTTATTATTGACCAATTTTCGGGCGTATACCTCAAACAACCACGGGAACATCCAATCTTTCCACGAATCGTTCCAAATATTATTTATATCTCCGTTTAATCTCTTCTTTATATGCTTATCGACTTCGTCCCAATTGCATAAGTTGCTCAAACATTCGAACAAACCTTGCAGACAATGTTCTTTGACCAACTCTGATTCCACTTCGTACGCTTTTTCGTACGCTGTCTTCGCTTTCGGCCAATTATTCGATATTTGTGCAAATGATGCAGTCTAAAATTAGAGAAAAAGTTATTAGTATTAAAAGAGGTACAAATGTGATTGATTTCGACTGTGATGTGTATACATACCCGTATGTCTTCATCTGTGATATGATGTTGAAAAATGCTGAGGACCACATCCACGTTATTCAGTGATTCATAAAGATTCGTCAACTGCAGCCATTCAGATGACGAATCAATAACAACAGGGGTTCGTGATTTCTTCCTAGGCGGCCCAGACGTATCCTCCACAGCATGAATTATGTTTTCCTCCAGAACAAGTGATCCAAGGAAGTTCAAATTGTTGGATCTTGAGGCTTTTGTAATAATTTCCGGCGAGCAGTCTATCACACGAGTTTCCAACAGTATCTCCAAAATCGCACTCATGACAGAACTCCCTTGTCCATTCTGAATGATCCCTTTTAAACTGTTTGCAACCTGTTCTACAAAATCGTTTTGTCTGCGCTCCTTGAGTAACGAGCAAACGATAGAAACTATCAAGTCTTTACAAATCTGTTGATCCTTTATGGCCAACTGTTGCAGTGGCTCGATCAACGTGGCATGTGATATCTCAATATCTGGAAAATCACCTACTCTATATTTTCGGTACAATTTGATGCTGCTCCTTTGTCGTGCGTGTTCTTCTCTTAACATTCTGAAGCGACGTACGTTCTTTGAAATCTGTTTTTTTCTCATATCCGCAGAGACGTCACTTGAGTGACGTAGAAATCGTGGAGTCGTTTTGACCTGATACTTGGCTGGAATTTCTGGTATCTTAAACACGCCATCATCTGGATCATCTGGCGCATCAAATTGATCATCCATATAAGTTGGCTCAAATTCAGGCTCTTGAGTCGCTTGAAGTTCCATTTCAGCATTAGAATTATAAGTCCACGTATCGGTTATTTGTGTAGTGAACGTTTGATTCATCTGACTGGTTAAGGTCGCTGCAAACAGTGGAGCTTTTGATCCTAAGTTTCTGGTTCTCCATGATATTGCTACTTTGTAGTCTCTGTAACTACAATTATGTAAAGGTTCAAACAGTATCTCGTTGTAATTGCTAGATTTCTTGGTAAGGTCTAAAATCATCATGAGTATGAATGGCAAAAAGTTACTGCTAACAGCAGGAGTGTATTTGGAGAGAATTTCAAGTAGTCTTTGTTTACAGGTATCTGTTAATCGGTCATCTTCTGTCCAAAAGTTTAGTATTTTGGGTTGTAACGTGTCAGAGGGATCTAGAACAGCATTCAGCAAAATTTCTGTGCTGAGAAGCATCAGATCTTTTATACTGTTGTCCGAGACTTCGTCAGAAGCATCGGTAGCATATTTACGATAAATTTCCATACATATATTGTAAGCTAGTTCCCTGAATTTTGAAGAGTTATTCTTTGTATATGGCGGTACTAAATTTACCAATGGCAAAACATTTGATGGTGGAAGTATGGGAATCAAAGAATTAATAATTTTCAGTGCTACTTCCTCACAGAGCGAAATCTTATTCATCAAGATCTCGCTAAACTTCATATGAGATAGTTCTTTTATTATCTGGTCTGCACTAAGATTTGGTATGGAGTGTAAAAATATTTCTAGGCAATTCGACCGTCCCAAAGCATCCACTCTGAATATGTCTGCAGCAACAAATTCAAAATAAATTACAGCTGCTTTCTGATAACTTTGACACAGTGCAAGAATGCATTTTACTTGCCTGCTTTCAAATTTCAGTTGCATTTGTCTGAATATTTTTCGAATTTTTTCAGTTATCCGTTCTGTCACGGTCTCATTATCTTCTACAGACTTTAAAATTAAACCAAGGCACTTACAGGTGTGCAAAACTGTTTGTTCGTCAGCTTGCCACTGTTCCAGTGAATTTTCTAAAAATTCTATGACATCGTTTCTTTCAACAATGTCCTCCTTTAATCCATGGGTCAAACAAATAAGTATTAAGTAGACTGTGGATGCAGGAGCACTTTTCATTTTATTCTCTAAATTTGCAGGTACCTTCAAATATTTGTCCCAGACTGTGAGCATCGTTTTTATCATGTCCATGTTAAATAAGTAGATACTTTTAGGAACTTTATTGGTTCTTTCTACCACTACCTTTTCAATCATGATTTCCCATAACTGCTGTACTACTAGCTTGCCATTGTTTTCATTAAACTCGATTTCAAGCGACTTTTCTATACACTTGCTCTGCCAATCTATCAACATCTGTATAATGTCAAGAATAATGTAGTTTAATTCATTCTCTCTCAAATATGTGTACACCGTATACATTGTTGGTTCCATCAAGAACTTTATGTAATGCTTAAACACATCTTGCACATTAAAGACAATTTTCAGCATGAATAATCTTACGTTATTATAACTTGTTGACACCATAGAATTGAGGAAGGCCTTTAGCCACTTTGGCATTGTGTCATCGCTATCAGATGGTATAGATATTTTTTCTGCTATTATATAATTTAAAACTCCACAGATAGATGCCATACATTCATGATTATTCAGTTCATCACTTTCAAATGTTAAGCTCATACTTTCCTCTTTATTATCAGATGCTTTATTTATAACAGTTTCATTAAAATCATAGGCATTTATATCTTCGTTTAAAGTACAAGTAGAAAAATCATTGCTGTACAAATATGACTGTTGTTTAGACGCATTTCTTTGGTTTATTCTTTGTCTTATATTAATCAACTTCTTGTAATATTTTGGACGTTCATTAACCGTTTGCTTGAATTCGTATTTCTTCCTGCAGTCTATGATGTTTTCCCAAATTAACTGTCGCTTGTTTCTATTCTCAGCAAAGATACTTATGAACGAGTCTTCGTCTTTCTTTAAAGCACAGAGAATAGTTATGCAACAATTGTACGCAGAACAATGCAACAATCTCATTATCTCTGTGTGTTCAGGATCAGGCGTTTTTAACGTACGTATGTTTAATATAGTGCCATACAAACTCTGTATGAGTTCTCTGCCCGTAACAACATTTTCTATGGCATTTCTGGTAATTAGACTATCTTCGTTGTCTATTTCATCTAACTCTATTTTCCCAAACAACACATTAATAAGATCGTAGCATCCTATTTTTGATACTACAAGCTGTTGTATGTCAGAGCTATTTCCAATAAGAGTTCCGCAAATTGTTGTGTGTATTTCTTTGATATTTCTTTCAAAGAATTCTCGTATCTCAGTAACTTTACAAAAGTTAAACGACGGTGTAAGAAAATTGTTCAATATATCAAACCTATCCTTGATCGGTGCATTTTTCATGAACAGTTTGTACACTGATTTAATCGACTCCACAACATATTCGGCGCTGAGTGAACTGAAATACTTTTGTACATATTCGGTAGTCTTTTCGTTGCATAATTTTTCAGCAATCCCAGCTGCGAATAAAATTACAGTCTCGTACACTACGATTGATTTAGTAACTGGTAATAACGTTAACAGCGTTTGGAAATAATTCGTTATTTTTAAAGCTTCTATGTTTCTTTGATTCAAGTCACTTTGACTTGCACTCTCTCTGCAGTTTTTTAAATTGCGTAAAATAACAAGTAACTCTGGTTTTGCGCCAGATGTCATATCAGTTAGACAAACAAGGAAATTCTGAAGAATATGAATTTTGTACTGCGTGTCAGAATTTTCTACCAACTGATTAAGAATCCATGCATAAAAATCTTTGTTCAAGGAAAACACTTCTGTTGGCTTGACCATCAAATGTACCGCAATTCCAAAAATACTTATTACTTTCTGCTTCCTGTCTTCAAAGTTATTTATAAGTTTTTCGAATAATGTAAATTTTGTAATGACACTGTTCACTAATGTCTGTGTACTATCATGCAATTCCTTCTTATGAAGTCTTACAAACAAAAATAATTGCTCCGTTATCGTTAACAAAATAAATGGATCTCCTTGCAATAAATCAATTAACATTTCTATAGTTTCTTTTGGAGCCATTAACATGTATTTAAATATTTCATTCTTGAACGTGTGTAAAAAGTGTATGCCATGTTTGATGCGGGTTGAGTCTTTCATAACCATTGTATCAGTCTTCATCAATGTAATTACTGTTTTCATCATTGATGACTTATAGTGTATGAAGAAAAATTCCATCAAAATCTCTAAATAATCTTTGACAGGTGTTTTAATATTTGTGCAAACGAGTTCTCCCATTTGCTCTTTTACCAAGATCTTGAAAATCTGTTCAATTCTATTTTCTGGTTGTTGAATGTATTCTACTATATTATTTAATTGCTGAAGAAGATTATGACGTTCCAAAAAGATTAAACCTTTGACATATTGTTTAAGTGCAATGCGACCATTGAAGCCAGAAATAATGGTATCTAAGTCCAAGAAATGGTTTAACTGTTTCTCCACATATGTCGAAAGTTCTTGTTTAATTAAAAACCATATTGAATTATCGGGTTTCTCCGTAATAGCTTGTAACAACTTTCCTATGACTACAGGAAGCGCTTCAATAATTTCAAAATTCTTTGCATTAAATCCTACAACGTATGGGCACATTATACACTTTGCAATTAACTCGTACAAATCCTTGTTGAAAAAGAAATCTGGGATGAAACTTTCATCAAGATTGAGAAGAATTTGTAGAAAGTCAAATACGGTTGTTATTGTCTTACACTGTAAAGTCTGCAAATCATCAAGTTCCTCCGACAATATCACAAAATCTATATCTTTCTCTTCTATTTTAATCTTATTCATTACGAAAATAAAATTCTTAGCACAATTAAAAATTATTTCTCGTTCTGAGTTCGAACTACCAAATAAATGTTCTGTATCCAACAAGTCATTGTTGATTAACCAAATGTAACAATCCAAACTTCTCAAAAGAGGCATTATGCTTCTAGCAGAAAGACTTTCTATTTTCAGTTTCAGATCCTTTAACATTATACCGCTAAACGTTTCAATTCCATAGGTGCTGATATAATTATCTATCATTGTTCTGGCTGAATCGCAATCGGTCATATATGGTGAAAATTTAACGATTAGATCCATACATTTTGCTCTGCAACATTGGTCCAAGCAACCGCACTGAGTGAACAACCAATTTACTGCGTCTGTTAAAGTTACATCTTCAAATTCGTGTGGTTTCCTACGATTTTTGTCCTTGTCATTTAGTACATCATCTTTTGCTAGCACAACTCTTTCAACGTGATCCAGCGCAGTGGTAATTGAAATATCGTTACAACCATCCAAACTTCTGACAAAGCAATATAAAATCTCCAACCAGTACATGGACACAATTTTTTCGTCCTCGCGTAGAATAGTGTAAAGGTGATTGAATGCAGTTGCAGCTGCTATTCGTTTGAACATAGAAGGATGTAGAGCGAAATTTGTAATCTTATACATCACCTCATCAATATTCGAATGTATTGTCTTATCATCGTCCGCCTGTTTGATGGACCAGTTGGTAAACTCAGCTAAACACATTCCAGAGAATTCTCTGACAGATGAACTCGACTCATTACTCAAACCATCGAAAAGCGAATCGAGGAACTGTATGGTCGCTGGAGATTTGAGCATAAACTTTGAACTCAACCAATGCGTAAGTTGCAGCATGAATGGTTGAAAAATGTTTCTGGGTGTCTCGTCGAAGTCGCAACCCAAATTAAGTAAGGCCGGGTATAACGTTACATATATAGAATCAAATTTATCAGCATTTTTCGATAAGTTTTGTGATGTTTTACCAAGAATAAATGATACTATTGAATGAAGTACTTCACAAGCGCTCACTTTTATGCGTCTGTCTCCAGAAGTTTGAGCTAAGAGTATCAATCTTGGTAAAATTTTATCGAAACAAATATCCACTTGGGTATCCGAGAGTGTCAATGAATACTTGAGTAAATCCTTCTTATCCCAAGTGGCTCCAACATTCATAGACCTTTTATATATAAAATTCAATATTATATCGGTGTTTAGCGAAGCTATAAATAACAAAACTCTCATCTGAAATCTTTCCAAAGTATCCATGTCATCTCTTAACATTATGCGTTTAATAACTTTTCGTTCAGTTTCTATGATATCTTGTAAAAATTCTGTGGTACTTTCCCCGCTTTGTAAATATGGTTCTAAAAATGGCACAACTTCTTGTAAAAACTCGTTAGTGTCCTTGCTGTCCAATGTATTTGTCCATAATTCTAATGCATTCAGAGTAGTGCGTGCTAATTCCAAATCGCTTAAACCGATAGTGCAGGCAATTTTAAATGCTGGAATTGTACTGTTTAGTACACGTTTCACAAACAGCATCGGTGTGTTCAGAATTAGGTATAAGCATGTAGTCAATAATTCATTAGAGAATGTGGAGATCAAATGTAACACATTCATTAAATATTTGTACAATAACTCCAAAACTTCTGCTTCGATATCTTCTAAGCTGGAGACACAAACATGATTGAAAAGTGCGCGCACTAATTTATAAAAGCCTGATATTAGAGGATGTTTGTACGACATAGTAATAACCGTTACTATAAATCTCTGCACTGTATTTGTTAGCAAATAAGGTTCTATACTGTTGATTATGTCAACGTATAAATCTACAATGTTAACGAACATTTTAAAATCTGCATTATTCTCAGCAATTTGAGAGAAGGCAGCATCTGAGAATATGTTATCTTCCTTTGTTTTCGTGTTCAAATTTAATTTACTCATCAATGTGATACCCACATGTATCATTGAATCTGCTACTTGATGCACAAGATTTCTGTGTTTTTTGTATCCGTCTGGCTTTAAAAGTTCTGTCCATAAACGTAAATAATTTTTGTAACACACTGGACGTTCGTCAAGATCTTCCATTCCTCGTTGCAATTCCGCATCAATTAATATAGTATGCGAACATGTCCATATTACACCATCATGAATTAAATGGTAAAGAAATTCTTCTAAAACATCTTTATTGACTGTTCCAATATTAATTATCGCATCTTTTATCGACTCTATTGCAAAATTCTGGCTTCTTAGAGAAAGATCAGGAAATTTTTTAATCAAAAAGATACTGAGTTTTGTAATGACATTAATATGATCAAGTGATAGATCTTTTATATGTAATATAATTTCAGATAAAGCCTGTTGGTAACTATAAACACTTTCCAAGTGAACTTGATCTAAATTATCCCTGTAAAATTTAATATGTTAATAAACGTCCATATTCAAATATTATAAAATATAATTCATACCTGGAACAAAACTCCAACGCATAATGAGCTATTAACGAAAACATCTGTTCCACGTAATTATCTTCAAAATATTTTTTGCATGCTCCAGCCATTTGACTGAAGCCATACACGATGAAACGTGATATGTTTGAATTTACTTTTAGACGATTCACAAAAAAATCTTTGAAGTACTGAAACATAGTGCATAATACAAATCATCTGAAATAACTATTTCATAATAATATAATTAATGATACTTACAGTGAGCATTTCTTTACTTGCATTATCATCAGGAGTACTAGACTTTAACATGTGTCCAATTTCTTTGTAAAAGCGTTGTAGCCCATATTGTCCACATGCAGCATTATCTACATTTTTATCCTGAGCAACTGCCAATAATAAATTATGCCAAAACTGATAATCGCGATGAACAAATTCTCGAAAATGCTGTATATTAGATATCAATAAATTAATTGCTGCTCTCAATGTAATTTTTCTATTGTGGTACTTCTTAAGATCGCTTAATTCTTTGGTCCAATTATATATTTCCACAGAATATCTTTGTATCATTTCATTTGGAAGACATTGTAATGTATTAGAAAGAATATTCAAATATACTTCAAAGGTATCAATCGAGCGGGATATATTGTATGGAGTAAACTGAAATTTAAAAGTAACAGCTTATACACAGCAAATATAAAAACATGAAAATTTGTGACATACCTGTTTTATAAAATCATTTCTTAAACGTTGAAAAATTATGTCAGCACGCTTTTCTTTATTTAACAATTCTGAATTGTGCTTTAAAATTGTACTCAGTATAGAAAAGATTAGAGTCCTTTCTATAATAAATTAATAAAATTATTTATATGAAATTTTACAGATATTATATGTTTACAATTTAACATTACCTTTTATGTTAAGTAAATGAAACGAATTTACAAACTTTCTTACAGTATCATCCAATTCAAGTTCATATTCACTAAAAATTTCTATTAATTTTGCAAAAGCATTACAAGCAGCTTTTCGAACAAACGCAGAACACTGTGTCATAAGTGCTTGTTGGCATGTATCCTAGAATCAAATAGGGTTTTAAAGCGTTATACAAAAAATGTACATATGAAAGTTGTATATATTATCCCAGGATACCTTTGTTGGCATCATATATGGAACAAATACTTCATTAAACTGTTCTATAATAAAGTAAAGAAGACTGAATGCTTCCTTCATTGCCTTATCAAAACCTCTCTGAGAATTAGATTTGGTAAGTTCTTCATTCAGAAATGTTAGTAATCCTTTCTTTGTGTCAAACAATATTGATAACATCAGTTCTGCAAAAGTCAAATATTGAATTTCAATGAAAACATATTTCTATTACAAACCATAAAAATGTAATATTATATTGTAATGTTATGAAACAACAATCAATATTAGCTGAACTATACATACCGCTCTCATCCTTTGTTATATTCTGAAAATACTTTCTACTGCTTGTCAAAATTTCTGTCAGATCAGTGCTATTCCTTTCTTTTTTAGCTCTTTCAAAAATATCCATAAATGTTTTAAACGATTCCATGTTTTAGCGGTTTTATGTTTACTGAAACTTATGTATTACTTAACCATGTATTTTTATCTGAAACAAATAATACGTTAACTTATAAACATCCAATATTCAGAAACTAAAAATAGCAAAAGTATTAACAACGTACAACGATTATTTGCTATTTATTTACGCCGCATAGATTGTGTATCAAACTTTTCATGACACGCAGTAGTGATTCCCCGTCGCATCTCACTTTCGCGCCTTTTTTAAATTATAGATCTAGCAAAATAAAATTGCTTTTTAATTATTTTAATTGTACTGGATTCATGTGAAATCAATGATTCGAACAATTATAAAAATACTTTGAAATAATTTAAACAATTATTTCAAAGAATGAAATATTTCAATTTTCGCGCTTCATCGGCGAAACAAACTATTGTATAACAACTTGTTCATTCGCACCAATCGCCATTTCCTATCCGCGACGACCTGTTTTATAAATCTTCCTGTACATAACACGTGAAAACCATAAAGACTGATCAAGAATATCAAATGATCCATGATTGATACTGATCGCGTGACCGGTTGATTTTTATCTTTCTCCCGGTAAATTATCAAGAATCTGCAGCCGGCTTACAAGAAGTAACCGTAAACAAAGCAAAAATTGAAAGAGAAAGTGAAGGAAGTGATCGAACTGCAAAGAAAGTAAAAAGGAATCGATATATAATCATTTGCTATGCGCCAGTAGCCTTTATGGATCAGACTGTTCAACATAGTAAATCGTGTGAGAAGTGGTATCAAATAAAAACCAGTTTACTATATACGATAAGACCCCCCGCGACTTTTACGAAGAGATAACGAGAAGAGGAGATAAACGGAGATTCTTTTTTCTGTATCGAGTTTGGTTCAGTGTTCCTATAACAGCGGTCCAGTAAACAGTAGCGTTTGCAATGGGTGATCAAAATACTGTGATCAATTTTGGAGCGGGACCAGCTAAACTTCCGGAGGAGGTATAATATATTCATATAGGGATTTTTTTTATTTTTTGCACAAATAACTTGCTGTCAATTATAAGGAATCGAGATGATTGAAATTTAAAATAGTAACGGATTTAGAGGTACAAAAGCAGTCTCACTATATGGCTTTATAAAATTATAAAAAGATGGTGTAAAAGGCTGTGTATACGGAATTTTTTTGTGAGAATTTTGCTTAGTAGTTTGCTGGAAATAATTTAGAAATTATAAACTTATTAACTTGAAAGTTTGTGAATTCGAAAGTTTTATATTTTCATATTCAAAAATTTAGATTTGAAATTTTTAAACGATCTAAATTTCTAAATTTCAAATTTATAAATTTGAAACGAAGTATAAAAATTTGTGACTGTAAAATAGTTAATAATTATCGTACATGGGACAAAAGTAGAGGATTAAATTAATATTTATATTATGCCAATAGTTTCCTGCATTTTTATTAATCCATTGGAAATTACAATCGAGAGGTATCGTTCCGGGTCAAACTCGTTCATTCAACTATTGAACAGGTCGCACATCGATCGTGAAATTGGAAATAAACAATTTTCTTTTATCAACATTGACCGGATATGCTTTAGGCACGAAATATATTTTATAGGTGTTAAAACATGTGCAAGAGGAATTGCTCGCATACGGTGATACTCGAATTAGCATTCTGGAACTGAGTCATCGATCGGCCGAATTCAAAAATGTTATTGATACTGCACAAGCAACGTTACGAGAAATATTGTGAGTTGCCACAGGAAATAAAAGATTTTATTTTGGATATAAAAAATACGGGGTCAAATTTTATTAATCTTGATTGGTACTTGAATTTATGAAAGATTGATAATATTCATACAAAGGTTTAACAAGGTACTTAAACTTTGCAGACATGTCCCCGATAATTACAAAGTTTTATTCATGCAAGGCGGCGGAACGGGATTATTTGCAGCTGTGCCTTTGAACATGATGACCACTGGTTCTGCGGACTACATAGTAACTGGTAAATGCGCAATACATTTTGCGCATAATTACAGGATTATTACTTTAATTTTAAAAATGCTAAAAATTAAAAATTCAAAAATCTGAGAATCTTAAAATTCAGTATCAAAATTTGAAAGTGCCAAAATTAAATTCATAAATCATCACTGCATATAAGACGTAATTAAAATACTGGTACCGGTGTTTTGCAAATAACAATAAATCAAGATAATACTGCAGATGCGAAAACAGAAGATAATTTAAAACGCAAATTAAATTTTTAAGGTTCATGGTCGGCCAAAGCAGCAAAAGAGGCGGCAAAATATGGCAAAGTAAATCTAGTTGTGCCGAAAACGACAAAATATACCGAAATTCCGGATCCTTCAACATGGAACTTGAGTCCTGATGCGTCTTACGTTTATTATTGCGCTAACGAGACGATTCACGGTAACTGAACGATAATTGCGAATGTTGGTCGTTGAAGATTATATTTGTTTAATCTTTTAAGGAATCGAGTTCGATTATATTCCCGAGACAAATGGGGTGCCGCTTGTTGCTGATATGTCGTCGAATATAGCCACGAGATGTTTAGATATTTCGAAAGTATGTTATATCTGGTCTTGTGACTATGCGATGTGAAAGGAGGATGAGTCAATAGCTCGAGATAACGTGTTGTTTAGTTTGCAGTAATCTTCGCTGGTGCACAAAAAAATATTGGTCCAGCTGGTGTAACGCTGGTAATAGTACGAGACAATGTTCTCGGCCATGCCATGAAAGTTTGTCCCACAATATTAGATTTTACTGTTATGGCAGCTGATAACTCCTTACATAATACACCACCAGTATTTCAGTAAGCAACTCTGATAAAAACTGATAGAATGTATTCACGTGAATAGACGAGATTAATTTATCTTAATAATATTATTATAATTGGTTTTCGTTACAACGTTTGTTTCGATTTTTAGAATATATACAGTCGGGTTAGTCTTCAAATGGATCAAAGAACATGGTGGGGTCGAAAACATGGAGAAACTGGCGGTCATTAAGAGCAAGAAAATATATGAGGTGATCGACGAATCGAAAGGTTTTTACTCGTGTCCAGTTAAGGCAGATGCGCGGAGCAGAATGAATATAGCGTTTAGAATAGGTAATAATGATGAGGAACTTGAAAAAGAATTTCTTTCCGGTGCATCTGCGCGCGGAATGCTTCAGTTGAAAGGTCACAGGTCAGTGTAACATAAAAAATGAACAACGATGTTGCAACTCGTGTTAGCATTCTGCAACAGTTGCATTAGCGTCACTGTTCAAATTGTTTTTTAAACTGAATGTTATGTTATACAATTACAGAACTGTTGGCGGAATTCGGGCAACAGCGTATAACGCTATTAGCGTAGAGGAAGTAGAGAAATTAGCAGAATATATGAAGTGGTTCTTCCAAAAACATTATAATAAATAATAGGGGATTTGCAATGTTATCTGTTTCAAATATAGTTATATTAAAAATGTTTTGTATACATGAAATACATAAATATTTTTACATATTTTTAAACAACCTTTTATACATTTTATACAATTTGCTGAACAATTGTAAAAATATCAGTGATAATGTTCATTTTTTTTAAACTATTGTATATTGTTATTAGCATTCAAAATATATTTTCATTTCTTAAATCATTCAATTTTAGTTTAAGTTTAATAAATTCTCCCATGATGATGGTTTTTTACATTCACAGCTTTCTCTATCATGAGCTATGCGGTTTGCAAATATTTTGTCTAGTTCTGTTTCTAGATTAAGATTAGTTCTACGACATCCATCTATTACAGCTTTGGACCACTAAAATTAACATTTTGCAATGTTAATATAAACGTAAATAATATTAATATGAATGTACAAAACTTTTGTACTAAAATCTCTTTCAACTTTCATACCTTAAAATATTCTTTTACTCTTTCCGGTGTCCAACCAACAGGAGTATTTTGTTCAAGGTCTCTAAGATTATATAACTTATCTGCTAATTTAACTAATTTAGCTTTATAACTTAATTTAGGACTATTTTCTATTTGCAATCTTTTACGTTCTTGTTTAGGCAAACTTTTGTCATCAGTTACTTCTTTAACTATATTACAAACCTCTGTACCAAACTGTCCTTCTATTTCTGCAAGTGTAGTATCTGTATCTTCTACTGTATCATGTAGTAGAGCTGATACAATTACAACAGGATCATAAATTTGGCCTTCCTGAATCAAAATATTTGCAACACCTACAAAATATTTCTTATACTTTTTGTACTATTTTTATAGCCTTCTTAATAGCAGAATATATGTTTCATAGTTGTTTGTGTTCTTCTATACGATTGTAATAAAATTGCAAACCTATAGGGTGATTTATATATGGTGTTCCTTCTGCATCTTTTCTTTTTTCATATTTGTGTTTTATTGCTGCAAAATTGACACACTTTATTATTAGTGATAACAATTCTTTGTTATCTAATTCTCTTGAACATGACTGACAAGATCCAAACACCTTAAATGGATCATGATCACCAAGTGATGCAGAAGTATTATTTTCCATGAATGTTTTGCAATGTCAAAATCTCCCCTTTTGTGGTGTTTAATGTAAAGCAATAAAAAACAATGATATTATTAAATTACAATTGTACTGCAAAAAGTTATTAAAAAAACCTAACTTTACCTGATAGTAATGGGGCTAAATAGAAAAACATTTGATAATAGTATTACCTGAATTATTTAAAATCTGAAACACGCCTGCATACAGCTGGATTTTGGTTTATCAGCTGATAAAGTTACTTTCAAAATTGAATAACAGAGGAGCTAGAGTTGCATACAAAACATAACCTAAATCTCTGAAGTTGTGTTTATTATTTGACAGTGAAATATATTTTTCAAAATGTCACTTAAAAGGAAATTGACACAAGATGATTTGCGTAAAGCTATGAGTGAACACAAAAAGAAATTAGGAGCTGTTAAAAAAATTGAATCGCCGTTAGCAAAATATCCTTTTCACTATAATTTGATTTGTTTCCAGGTTATGTCTTACATTTCGTTTTTGTCTTAATTTCAAAATGAGATTTTCTGTTTATTTTTTATAATCACGTTCTAACGTCATACACGACTCATTTCGTTTCTGTTTTGTTTCTGAATTATTAATGTTTGAGAAGTCCTTAACCATGGTAAACACATATACAGATGCAGGACAACTTATGTGTATTTTGTGCAAAGCTGCTGTACGTAGTGAAGCAGTCTGGACAGTGCATTTGAATTCAAAGACTCACAAGGAAAATATAATATTAGCAAAAAAGACTAAATTGGAAACAGAATCACCGACAGTTACGACACATACATTCAAAAGACCTGTGTCTCCTGTGCAAGAACCGGGAGCAAATAAAAAGATTAAGGGCATACTGAAAAATGCTACAGTAAAATCAGCACAAGTACCTTCAAATTTACCAGTAGATTTCTTCGATAACCCTTCTAAGCAAGGACTAACAGTACCTTTAAATACCACTGTGATAAAAAGAGGATCTGAAAATGATAAGGAAATAGCCCAGGAGAAAGAATTTAAAAATGGAGAAGCAGAAGAGGAGAATGATAAAGAAACAGAGAGGGGTAAAGATGCAAATCAACCAGTTCTTCCTGAAGGATTTTTTGATGATCCAATTTTGGATGCTAAAGTAAGAGTGTTATATGAAAATTAAATACCTGTGCATAAGGAGTGCATAAAAGCAATATGTTTCTAGGTTCGTAATGTAGAATACAAAAATCCCATAGAAGAAGAATGGGAAAAGTTTCAGAAAGAAATCAAAGAGGAAACAGCACAATCTGCACAAATTATTGCAGAGGATCAGGAGGAGGCAACAACAGAAAGGCAATTAGATGAAATAGAAGAACAAATTAGACACTGGTCCAGGTAAATAAAGATAAAATGAATTTTAATTTAAGTGTACAATCATAAACGATTAAATACTATTTTCACAGAGTAATGGATTTAGTAAAACGCAAAGAACAAGTACAGGCCACAGATAGGAAGCAAAACAACACGGATGAGGATAACTCCAGTGGAGATGAGGCTGATTTTGATGAATTTCTTGATTGGAGAGCAAAAAATTCGTACAAATAAAATTTTACCATGTACAGTATTCACGTTCTTGTATATATTTGAAAGTGTTATATACTTTCAAAATAATTTTGAAATTGTAAACATTGTTGGATTAATCAATCTTCTATGCAAAATTCTAAGTTTTTGTACTAACACTGAGAAGTGCATAACTTCAACATTGATCTGGTCCAAATTTAATTTATAACAATAAACAAAGTGGATCAATTTGTATACATTTTGTTTCTCTTTTTTTCAATAAAAGGGCACCAAGGTGACAAATAAAATTTGTACAGTGTATTAAGATTTTATTAAAACGAATTCAAAGAGTCAGAATATAATTAAGTTTTAAATACAATCGTTATAGATCATTAATTTATCCGTTACAAGCTATAATATGAAATGTATAATAATATAAAGATTACAAGGTAGGCTAAGCCGCTAGTAAAATAGTGTTGGGTAGTATATTGCCAAAAGTTCAACGATATTCACTTTCGTTACATACCGGACATTATAAAATATTGAAAATTGAAAAATGAGAGACTCGCATACAATTTGTCCGCATCCATCCACGCTGTAGCTAGGAAACTTTCTATTCGCTATTCAAGTTTCTCTCGCGAGTTCATTTAAATCTTTCGAATCCCCATTTGAAATGTACGTCTCCGTTAATTTCCAATTGCCTAGATACCCTTGCGTTAGATACATCTTAAGAAGTTTTACAACGTAGCGCGTAATCGTAGAGAGTTTAACCTTATCTTACGCGATCCTTTGAAGCCAACTACGTTATACGAATACATCGTTTGTGTGTACAGTACATATAGAAATACGCAATATCTCGAGACGAGTGTACGATAATCTTTATTTTTAATTACGCTAAATCGAATCACAATGTTTCGCGTTGAACCGTCTACGGATCGGTGGCCGAACATTCCTAGACGGATCATTGAAATTAAGCACAAAATGCGATCAGACGAAACTTCTACGTTTCTCCTTAACATTAATTTAACCTACAGAAAGCTTAATCGTGCTCGATCACGCTATAAGTTCCTTACAAGCAAGCTGTGTCGGTGATTACATTAATAATTCCTTAACAACGTTACGTGTCTAGAAGAGACTTGACCCTAAGGATACCGATCGAACGATACTCTCGTCGCACGATCGTTCAACGACATTTGTGCTGGATTCGAAAGGGTGTGTAGGAAGAAACTTACAAAATCGCGAAACTCGGTAGTCAAAGGATCGTTTTTTATAAGGATGATGATCTGTATAATTCGATAAAGCACTGACGAACATTGTCCCGCAGGATCGAAAATCCTTTCGTCTTTCTGGGACTCCATCGACAAGGTATTGTCTAATTTTGATTTCGGGATGTTCCATCGTTGTTGGCGAAAGTTGTCGGTTATATTGTTTCGCGTTTTCGGACGTCGTCGATTAAAATACCATGGAGATATTAAAAATGGTCACGGTAACCGTAGTCGGTTACATTGTACACACAGAGAGAATTCAGGTAAGTAAAAATCGACATTTCCATAGGAAAACCTGTCGCGGGAACGACGAATAATCCAAACACTTCCCCATATTTGGATTACCGCATCGTTCACGAGGTTCTCCGAGAAAATTGCTCCTCGACAATCATTTTAAAGATCTCGTTTTGTTCGTGTTTCGAAGTAACTTCGACGTAACACTCGAAGAAATCTGTACGTGCGATGATACAGCTTAAAATGAAGAATTCGATAAATCCCTCGTTGGGGATGAAATGAAATCGATCTCGCAGCAATTATCTACGTATAGAATAGAGGTGTTACAAAAGTGAGCGAGTGTCTTTGAGTGATAAAGACGAGGCACCCTGCTTGTTTCTTTCATCGAGTTATCTTTGTGCATCGTATCTTAAGGGTGGAGGGAAACTAACGACTCGATAATAAGCCTCTTAACGATACACGCTTCTAAACACTACGATTATCCTAAAAGATCTTAAGCGAACGATTTACTTTCCACGGCTGAGATATACTCGAAGAATCGTTAACGTATCTTAATTTATCGGGTACAGAGGGACCGTTCTATCCGGAAACGGAAACCTTCCCCGAATTTCGTTCGCGGATGAGATCGATCCCTCCTCCCTTGAAATCCTTATTGAGTAAACATTTGCTCGTTCACAAACGCACCTGTCTCGATTTATCTCCTCTTTTTTTTTCATTTTAATATTTACTCGCACGCCTTCTATATCGAATCTCTGCAATAAAAGATGCTGTTTCTAAATTACCTGTTACAACTGAGAGGTTGATATTACAAATGGGTCAACAATGGGTGCAAAGAGATACATAGAGTACGCTAGGTGCGGCACCGATAATAATTAAGCGAGTCGCTTAACACGTTATTAATATCTATCGATTATCCTCGTTAAGTATTAAAGTGTAATAATAATAACAACGACGGTAGCAAGAAGAATCTATTAGCTGTACGTTGCACATAGATCACAGAGTGGATACAGTCGCTAGGCATTCCAAAAAAGTCATCTACAAACAGTGCAAATAGTGCCAAGCCTAGTATTATGTATATGTATATATATATATATATTTTATCTTCTTCTTGTACTGATATAACGTGTATACGTATCTATATATATAATTAATTAATCTCATCTCTTTAAACGCTATTTAAACGCGAGAGCGCAGGCACTAAATTGCTGAGATACAATCGTACCGGACTATTTGATGATGATTCTTCAAAGAAGATGATCTCGAAGTGTAATGTGTGTGTAGATACAGATAAACGGTTTATAGTTAGTTTTTGACAACGGAATCTTGTGCGGCTTTAATAAGGTAGAAACGTGTTCAACGCGTTTTGCTCTTTCTATATCTATACGGTGATATCCCTCGAGGCGACTGTGTCGTTTCGTTTTCCGTCGTCTGTCCATTAAAATTCGATCGATCGAACGAACTTTAATAACGCGCAAACTGTTCCCTTGGCTCGAGACTCAAATTCGAAAATGAAAATCTAATTCGTTGAGTAACGACGAAACGTCGTCCCGCTCTTCTCTGAGTGATTAGAATATCAACCCTTTTGCTGCGACGTATGTTCATCGAAATTTCGTGGGTCATTCGTTACTTGCTTTTTAAATTTAGATGAAAAATATTTAGGTTAAGGCAACGCTGACTCAGATCAGGTTAGGGTTATTTAAAGTTAAGTCAACTTTGGTTAGGGTTAGGTTGGATTAAGATAAGGTTGGTTACGTTAGATTAGGTTAATAAGGTTAAGATTAGGTTAGGTGAAGCTGAAGATCAGGTTTGAGTTAGGTTATTTTAAGACTTGTTATATAAGGTTAGGTTATGTTAGGTTGAAGTTATGATAGGTTAGAATAAATTAAGGTTTGTTTAGTCAGGTTAGGGTACATTAAGGTTTATTTAATTAGGTTAGGTTACATTAAGGTTTATTTAATTAGGTTAGGTTACATTAAGGTTTATTTAATTAGGTTAGGTTAAATTAAGGTTTGTTACATTTGGTTAGGTTGAATTAAGGTTTGTTACATTTTGTTAGGTTGAATTAAGGTTTGTTACATTTTGTTAGGTTCAATTAAGGTTTGTTACATTTGGTTAGGTTATGTTAAGTTTTCTGGTTAGGTTAGATCAAGTTAGGTTACAGTTAAAGACAAATTATGACAGATTACGAGTTAGATCATCATGAGGTTCTTTTTAAATGAACATTAAAAAACAATAGATAACAAACAATCTTGAATATTTGAAACAATTTCGACTGTGCCAATGAGTGTATCGATATAGCCAATAATCGCAGCGAAAGGGTTAACACGCGTTCGAATGAACATTGAAACGATAATCGATGAGAAACGATTCGTCGAGCGTGTAACTATCTCGTTGCCTAAGCCGTCATGCGCGATCCATTAATCGTTTAGTCGAGCGTGTTGCTCGCGGAACGGATAAAGCTACGATGCTGCTTAATTATCACGCTAAACGTTAATTGGTTTACTACGCGTACAGCGTTACCCTCGGGATGTCCGTTCAAAACACTTTCGTCTGGTCCCTTTCGTGTTGTTTTTTTATTTCTTTTGGCTTCTCGTTAACCAGTTTTTAGTTTCTTGGCAAGAACCGTCGGCTCTTTGGGTCGGGATCTGCGAGTACCGACGCTGGGTCGTCCGGACCCCGGAATATCGTGCACGCTTTTCGAGCACACCTCTGAAACTCTCTCTTCGTCCGTGTGATTTGTATCAGACCAGCTGACCACTTGAGAAATCTACGATAATGCTCCTAGAACGTCGACGTTTGTCTTTTAACTCTACTTCGAAGTCGTCGATCAAACAACGAAATTGAAGTTCCAGTTCGAACTTCGGGATAAAATCGATAGAGATAAAAGACGCAACGAAGGATTATCCTCGTGGAACATTCGGTTGATTGTTAGCTCGCGATCTATGGATCGCCGCTCGTCAAAGCGATCGTTTGGACTTTGAGATTATTATAAAATACGAGTTTATTAATTAGATTTAGCTCGAAGCGATGAATCGAAGTTACAGGCGAAAGATTCGCTATCCTTTGGTCCAGAAAAAACATCGTAACTCGTTGCAGGGGTTCCCAGTTCGGGAAATGCAATCTTTCGCGTCGTTACCATGTTTCGCCTCCAGATTTTCTTGCGAAAACGAATAGACAAACTCTTGTCTCGAAATTGTCCGAAGACAATATTCTCCTCTTTTATCGTAGAAAAAGATTACCTTACATGCTGCAGGATCTATAAGAATCAATCGAAAGAATCTTATTAAACGATGAGGAGAGAGGTGCTACTTGAAATATATTCAGAAGATATCTCCTTACTCTCGTTAATATGTTTCGTGCTTTCTCACCTAGCAATTTATCAAAATCACAAAATACATACAGGCGTACGATGCTTCATAGAAATCGAACACGATTCCGCGAGAATGGAAAATTATCGAGGACGCGGTCTCAGCCGCGACTCGGACGTAAAGATGATTATCTTAAGTACGATTCGTGAATACCGTTTTTCTTCCGTGTCTTAATAAAATATTGTTGCAATCGGATGGCTACGGTTAATAATAGCGGTTAATTAGACCCAGGAAAGTCTGTATCAAAGCGCAGACGCGTCGACGCGAGGGAGAAACGAATGATCGTCGAATAGAAACGAGGGCGAAAAAAAAAGAATGGATCTACGACAGAGTCGAAATCGCTTCGAGGACGATCCTTTTTCCGTGTCGGTCGTCCTCGCGGTTGTCGCTGAAGGAAAATCGGGCAACGACGACTCGGATCTACGCCTTGGCCTCGAGAATCTCCACGGTGACGTTCTCCAGAACGGTCTCTGTCATGTTATTCGGTTGATTGGGCGGGGATTTGTTCGATTTCGTCGAAACAGCCGACGCGTTCCCGCTGCTGCCTCGACTCCCTCGTCGTGATCCTGTTCGTGACCCTGGCGACAGAGATTTTCCTGTTAAAGTATCGTGCGCTTTGCACAGACTCGACTCGGTGACCTGACACGAAAAGCCGGCAGCTTCAAGCACGAAGAGCGGCGTCGAACGGAAATGTTTTGTTCGATGCTGCTTTTTCGTTCGATCGAAAAGGTCACGATGGCGGTCCTCTATTCGCGAGGAACTTTTCTACGAAATATGACCTTTTGCGGACAAAAACGATTTTTGTGACATTCTGGACAGGTACTCTTATTGGGTGACTGTACATTGAGGACATAATTTTATGGGGAATGTGACGTGATTAGATTGAACTAAATTATTCATATGATCAGAATGGTTAAAATAGTCAGAATGATCAAACTGGTCACAATGATCAATATGACCAAAATGGTTAAAATAGTCAAAATGATCAAACTGATCACAATGATCAAGATGATCAGAATGGTTAAAATAGTCAAACTGATCAAACTGGTCAAAATGATCATGATGATCAAAGTGGTTAAAATAGTCAAAATGATCAAGCTGGTCACAATGATCAACATGATAAAAATAGTTAAAACAGTCAAAATGATCAAACTGATCAAAATGATCAACATGACAAAAACAGTTAAAATAGTTAAAATGATCAAACTAATCAAAATGATCAAAGTGAACAAAATGGTCAGAATGGTCAAAATGATCAAACTGATCATGACAAACAAGATAATAAAAATGATCAAGATGATTGAAATGATTAGGATGATTAAAGTGAATCAAGATGATCAAAACAATTAAGACGATCAAAGTGATCAAAACAATAAAATAACAAAATGATCAAATCTGTATCACATAAATGCTTACTTACGAACACTTCTTTAGTGCAAATAACAACGTGAAGAATTCAGTGATTTTTTGTAAATGAATTTTCAAATCACAAACATTAAAATTGAGACATTTTTAAATATTGCAATTTTTAAAGCTACAAATACTATAATTTGTAAGTTTACGACAAAGTTAATTCTTTGTTAAATATTTCATTGAACACATCATGTATTTAATGAGTAAAATTATCAAAATAGTTTCTTTTAGTGAATACAATTTTTTGATTTCTTTAATTAAATTTTTTTCGAATGGTAAATAAATATTTTCTGTTTTAGAAATTTATTTAGAGATTAGTTACCTGGAAATCAAAAATATTTTAAGAAGATAAAATTGTAGAAAATATAAGAATTTTGTATCATGTTTTATGTTGTATATTTGCAACATAAATTTTCTAAATAGAAAGTATTTCTTTCAAGAATATTTTTGTTAAATCTGAAAGATATCATGCAACGTATTTAAACTCATGTTTGTAAATGTTTAAACAGTTCAAGAATAAGTTCAGTTTAAGAAAATAAAATTTCGAACAACCTAAATTAAATGTCTTTTCGATAATTGAACAAACCGCCATTGTGAGCACGTGCATGCGTTTACTATTGCTAAAAGTGCTCGAAAACTCGAATTGCAAATATGAAACGTCTTGATCGAATCCACCGTGAATGCAAATCAACCCCAGAAAATAATTACACAGCACAGAAACAAAAGGAAAGAAACAAAGACAATGGATTCTTGGATTGCCGTAGCATTTCCGGTGAAATCGATTGATATAATCTATCTTACCGTGCAACCGAGATGCATTTCTTGAATGCAATCTGGTCTCTCGTAAAACTACTTCAGAACTCCGTGCTACAATGGAAATGCACCCGTATTCTAGCGAATATCTGTCGCTCGTAATCTGCGTATCTAATACTAACCGATTGGCACTACGCGGAGGAAATAAAAAACATACGAGACGTATTGATTTTATCCGATCAAAATGCTTTCATAAAATTTCTCGAGTGTTTCGTTCGAATTTTTTCTTATTCCCTCCCAAATCTATCGTCGAACTTTTTACACCGTACACTCGTTTGAACGCGATCTACGATACAGAGTGTCCCATACAACCGGGTCGAAATATATCTCTAAAGCAGAAACTAGAAAAGAATTTCACTAAAAATAAGGGATCTCGAATTAAGTATATCATTATACATATCTAGAAAGGTTCAACAAATTTCAAGGTCCACTTTCAGTATCGAAATTAAATATTTTCATGTGGATTTGCAATATTGTGAGCAAGAGGTGTTAAGTGTCTGAGCTGTGTTGAGGAGTAATATTAAGAAGACACGTCGAATTACCACGTATCGAATTACAATGCGTCGAATTACCACGTATCGAATTACAACGCGTTGAATTACCACGCGCGGAATTACTATGCGTAGAATTACCACGCGTGGAATTACTACGCGTAGAATTACTACGC